TTTCTCTAGCATTTCTCTTATTAAGACTCTATATTGCTCTAGGTCTTTAACTTTCTAGGGAGTTATTTGTAGTCTGTCTCGCCTCCTAGTCCTAATGTACTAGGCTTTTATCTTGTCTAGTGCCTTTTAGATAGTCTATTAGGCTAGGTATTCTATTGTCTTTACTATATATTAGTGTCTTAGTCCCTTAAAGTATTGTTTGACTAGTGGGATCCCTAATTCTATTTCTACTACCCTTATTAGTATAGTTTTATATGCTCCTAGGATTTTCTTTAGGCTTTAGGTTTAGGACCTACTAACTAGTTGTTCAATCCTCTTTAGTGTTTTCTCCTAGGCTGTCTATATCTATGCTCTATATAGCATTGCTAGCTTAACAATTGCTTTATATATAACTTTAGCTTTCTCGAATGTAGCCCCCTATATAGAGGCTATAAGCCTATTAATAGATTGCATATTAGCATCTGCCCTCTGCTTTGCCTTCTTTACTTGTAGTCCCTAATTCAGTTTTGGATTTAGCTAGATCCCTAGTACCCTAAGCTCTACTAATAGTTGGGTTTTAAAGCCTTAGATAGTAATTGATTGCTTTATATTATAGGTTGATTTAGCCTTACTAAAGTGGATAAGCTAGTACTTTTCTAGGGCGAATTTTGCTCTATACCTCCTTACCTATTTTTTATACTCCTAGTGCTTCTCTTCTAGGATCTTGCAGTTGGTTTCTATTGTCTTAGACTAGGCTAGGATGTTCGTATTATCTATAAACCCTAATGCTAATGTGTTTTTTGATTCTAGGAGTAGGAGTAGGTCTGCTATAAAGATAAGGAAGAGGATTAGGGAGAGTATTAATCCTTAGGGGATTCCCTTTTTAGTTAGTATTAGGTCTGATTTGAATTTGCCTAGAATAAGCTGTATTAATCTTTCCTATAGGAAGGACTAGATAAATTGGACTATCTAGTTTAGTATAGCTTTCTATTTAAGTATATATAGGAGCCTTTTATAGGAGACATTATTAAAGGCTCCTAAGATATTAAGGGAGAGGAGGGTTGCTACCTAGTTTTAACTATAGTGCTAGATATGCTTAATCTGTTCTATAATTAGTTCTATAGCTATTAGTGTTAACCTCTTCTTTCTTCTTCCTATCTAGCCTTCTAGAAGGATGTTCCTTTCCTCGGTAAAGGTTGTTAGCCTTTTAGCGACAATTTTTTCTAGCACCTTGCCTATTGTATTAAGTAGGGCTATTAGTCTATAGGCCTTGAGCTATATATAGTCTTCCTTCTAGGGCTTCCTTAGTACTACTATTAGGGACTTCCTAAATAGTCTTAGGTAGTGTCCTAGTGCTAGGCTTTATAAAAAGATATTAGCTAGTGCTAGGGCTAGCCCCTTCCTATATGCTTTTAGAAGTTTGTTATAGATCTTGTCTTCTCCTAGTGCCTTATTGCCTAGAATTTTCTTTAGGATCCTTTTAATAGTTTCGGGTTTAACCTAGGTATCTCTTAGTATGCCTAGTAGTAGAGTCTCTTATTCTATCTCCCTTATGTCTAATAGGTCTACTTGTACTTTTCTATAGAAGAAGTGTTAGCCTAGGGCTCTTACTTTCCCTTCTATTATAGTCTGTATTTGTCCTTATTAGTCTATAATGTCCGGGAATTGTAGTAGTATATCCTTATCCTATTTAGGTCTCCTTACCTATTTAGCTATCCTCTATATCTCCTCTAGTTTCTTTGTAATTATTCCTATTATAGATCTCTATTCTTGTATCTTGTCTTTCTTAATCTAGATCTTCTTTTCCTAGCAGGCTTTATTATAGTTGTCCTATACTTCCTAGGTATAGGTTTATGTCTACTGCCTCCTAGCCTTCCTTGCTACTTTAACCTTCCTTATACACTTACTAGTCTAGTATAGTTGCTAGTATAGTAAATGTTTCTTTGCTAGGATATGCTTTCTAGCTACCTGTTTTAGGATTCCTATTAGTTCTTCTACTACTTTGTCAATGTCCTCTAGCCTTAGTAGGTGCTTTGTTAAGAGTTCCTCTAGTTTTAGGTCCCTTTCTAGTTCCTCCCTAATCCTGCCCTATTAGGTACCCTTCTAGTTAAGCTTCTCCTCTAGTTCCCTTTCCTAATTGGCTTAGATATTTAGCTTAATCTGCACCGAAAAGTGGTCTAATAATTCTTCTAGTTCCTAGTTGATCCTATATCTTATAATCCTGTTCCTAATCTAATATAATATAAAGCATAGGTCTAGTATGCTACTGCTTCCTCTTGCCTCCTAAGTAATTAGTCCCTTTAGGGTAACAATTTCTATTTCTTCCCTCTCTAATATATCAATTAGTCTTCCTACTAGGAATTAGTAAGCTAGGGTAAAGTCTAAGCTCTAGAGGGGGTAGTAGAGGTTGAAATCCCTAAGTAGGATTTAGTAGGTGTTCCCCTAGATAACTCTAGGTAGTCTTTCTAGGGTTTTTAGTTAGGTACTGCTTCTTAAGTCTAGTAGTAGGTTGTATATATAGTAGACTTAGAGTATACCTTAGGATATCTCTACTTAAACTAATATTAGGTCCTTATCCTCCTATAGTAGAGCCTGCTAGGTTTCTATATCTATCTCCTTACTAATATAGATGCATATCCTTAGGGCTCCCTAGTTGTAGATAATTAGGTAGTATCTTAGGTCTTTGACTGTTGCTAGTCTCTTTGTATATAGGTTGAGCTAGGGCTCTTAGATTGCAATAATGTGATGTTCTTTTAGGTTTAGTGCTTAAAGGAAGCTCCTCTATACCTTATCTTTGCTCTTGTTAATATTATACTATATAATGTTTAGTGATATTGCAATGTTTATTAGGTTTCATCTATATTATTTCCCTATAAGTTTTCCTTTAGTCTTCCCTTACTTTAGACTAATATTTAACTAAGCTTTGTCTGCCCTACTTCCTTTCCTATAATGTTAAGGTATCTTAGTCTCTCTAGTTGCTAGTAACTCTCTTGTGCTAGTAAGGCCCTAAATGTGAACCTATTATCTTGTCTAGACCTCTTTTGTAGTACTTAGCTAGGTTGCTTCTGTATCTAGCTACCCTAGCTTGTTACATATCTTTTTAGTGTATTAATTCTAGCTTCCTTTGCCTTCCTCGCTGCCTGTATTCTTACTAGGCATTCCTTCGCCTAAAAGGGGTATCTTTTAGTATAGTATATATATCTTGCTTCTCCTTTGTATACTTTGCATTCTTTAACCTAGTAATCCCCTATATAATAGGAGCAGGTGTTAGTTGTCTTTGTACACTTAGCTGCTAAGTGTCTATAGTGTTAATATTTGAAGCACTACATTATCCTATAGTTGCTTCTATATATCTCTGTTTCTAATCTCTTATAGTCCTAGAACAACCCCTAGTCTAGCACTATATTAGCTTGCTCTATACTCCCTACCTAGATAATTAGGGAAGACTGCTTTTTAGTCTCCTCGATTTTCCTTTTAATCTATACTACTTTTGTGATCTTTAGGCCTAGGTATATAGCTTGGTTTTGTCTCTATAGGCTCTTAATATCCTATTCTTCCTTAAAGCTTCTTATTATACTATAGGCTATAATTATAAATTGCTGTTAGGAGACCTTTGTTGTTTTCCCTATCTTAGTTGTCTATTCTTTTTGTGTTTCTAGCTTCTTTTTGTCCTGCTCTTGTGCTATAAATAGCTTAATTACCCCTTTTCCTTCGTTCCTAGCCCTAATTACCTCTTTAACTATAATTCTTTCTATAATCTCTTTCCCTATAAGTCCTTAGATTTCCTTTTGCTCCTATAGGTCCGTAATATAGACTCTAACTACTATCCTCGGGGGTTTTAGCGCCTCCTAACTAGCTACTGCTACCTAGGTACGGTAGTTTAGGCTTATTTCCTATTATTTCTTCGTAATCTTTGCTACGACTATATTAGCTACCTTTGTGATTACGTAGCTTGCCTAGTTATAGATTACTTTTAGTTCTCCGAGGAGTTCTAAGATTATTATCCTATATGCCCTTTTAGGGGTTCTTCTATCTTCCGCCTTTAGTATCTCCTCTGCCCTAGTATATAGTGCTTTCTATTCGTCCTCCCTTCCTTCTTAACTATCTTCCCTTCGTCTCTAATTGTTCGCTACTATTTCTCGATAGATTATATAATTCTCGCTCTTACTATATTAATAGTGCCCTTTATTATATATAAGGATAGCGTAGTTAGAGTTATATATTATATTGTATTAGAGGTAAGGTTTAATATAGTTATATAATTAGGTAGTTAAGTGTTTAATTCGGCGCGGACTAGATAGCTTATTAGATCTACTAAGTTAGTAGTAATAGAGGTCGAGATTAGAATATAGATAGGCTACGAGGGCGCGGCCTTTAGAAGGGAAGCGTATATTAGGGCTAAAGAGGTTATACGTAATTAGTATATAACTAGACTCGAGTAAAGCTAGGGTTTTAGTGCCTTAGGTAGGGCTTAGCACTTAGTAATAGGCTAACTTGCCTGCCTTCCTCCCTCTCCTCCTAGTTCCTTATCGAATACTACCTATACCTACTACTACCCTATCTACCTGCTAATATAACCCTTCTTACACTATTAGTATACGACCGACTGTATTCTTAGGCTATATCGCTTAAAGCTCGTAACTTCCTTTATCTTATTTCGGATCTCGGGTCTTTCTAATATAGTATAGTAGGGAAGAGCGTATAGAGGCGCTAGCAAGCTGCCTACGCGGGCGGTCCGACTAGAGACTAGTTTACGAGACACACGAGCACATGCGAATGGTATTTCACCTCAAGGCTCAAGTACGAAAGTCTTTTGGACCCCTGACCAGTGACGTGCAGTCAGCATTGGCATGTGGCTTAGGTGATAGCCAGGGACCAGGTCTGGGGCTTCGCCGGTTCGGTGACGCCAATTCCGGCGACCGAATTCGCCAAGATTGGGAGCATAGGCATGATGAGTTCTTCATCGTGAGTATATATCTTGCTGTCTGGTATCAACGGATAGTCCATCATCTCACCCGCAAACAACACTTCCAACAGCAGCTTGTACGACTATCGTTAATTCTAGTCCAATTCTAATAAAACAACTTCCACAACTTCCATTACAATATACGCAACATCACCATGCAGCTCATCGACTTTGCACTCATCGGCCTGGCAATCGCCGCTCCAACTACCCAGGTCCGTTCGGCCAAGGAAGCGACCACATGTCCAGGTGTGAATGGCGCACAAACCTCCTCAAACAACAACGTGGCATACCGAATAGAATGTGCTAAATGGGTCGACTCCGACGAAGTCCTCCGGATAACAACAACCGAGGTCGGCTACGAGGGCTGTCTCACAGCTTGTGATGGCACTATTGACTGCGGTATTGCACAATTCATCGCTACCGACGATGCTCAGATCAAGGGTTTCTGCACACTGTTCAAGAAGGGTGCTGCCGTCAAGCAAGGTTCAAGCAATTCTTGGACACTTGCAACCCAAATCGACAGCAAGCCAGCGCCAGGCAATCCGACTGTCCCTGTTCCAGGTGACGGCGACAAATTCGGCCTCATTGTCGTCAAACCTGGCTCTCCAATTCACCACCAGGGCATAACTGCATCTCATGGCAGCCTACTCGTTGGTGGCAAGCAGGACGCTACCTGTGATACCAAGTCCGACTTCGCTACCTTCTTCATTAATAACGGCGAAGCATACCTGTACTCCCCTTCTTCCACACAGCAGCTCTGGGTCGATCGCAGCGGTATGGGCCAGGGTATTTCTGGCTACACGACCGGTACTCAGGAAGCACCAAAGAACGCTGAGCGCAAGAGCTTCAAGGTCGATAAGGACGGACACTTGACCTTTGAAGGTGTCACCCCAAAGGCTTGCCCAGGCAAGGACAATGACGCAGGATGGAGCCTCTGGTTCTCATCTGCAGACAAGCCTGGCTTTAACGAGGGCTGTATCGGCGTTGCACTCAAGGCTCTTAAGGAGGATAACCCTGTCAGCTGCTCTTACACTGGCTCCTCCTAAGGAAAGGAGATGATGAGATTCTGTTTTTTTTTTTGCATAGCGGAAGGTAGCATGGCGTATAATTCTAGCATTGAGCGGCGCAGCATTGCTTTCGAAGACGGGTTCGTCTTCGTGATTTTCTACATAAAACTCACGACTCTTACGACGAGTCAACATGGGCCATGTCTTTGGGCCTCAATATTAATTAGAGTCCTTGCAAAAAACTTAATTTTATCCAAACCTCACATTTCCCACAAACCTCTCCATCGCCGAGACAGGGCCAGAACAGGATGATCGGACTGCAGTTCACACTTCACATAGAAGATGTCAGAGAGCGGAGGAAGCCAAGTTGATGTGGTGAAGTCAGTGATACACGAACGACTCATGTCAAAGAATTTTTTACTGTAGAACTATTCGGCTCCCTCGCCCGCGTGCCGAAGAGGCGTGCCGTGCCCCTCTTCGCAGCAATGGCGATGGCGACGTGGATTAGTAAACAGCAGGAAAACATTGAGGTGATTCACTGGCATCACATGTCTCGCTGAGATACTCCTATCAATGACTGCTAGGCGATAGCACACCCTCCAATCTCCACGCCACACTGGAAGGTACGGCCCAAGTCGAACGCGATGCCAGTCCAACCCGATAACCCAGAGCCCGCGCACCACGACGTCGACTCGATGCTGTCCAGGAAGTTCGGCAAAGAAGTCGCCAACTACTTCTCCGGCTCGCCACTCAACAGAGTTGGCTTCCTTCGCGGCGACCACAAGTTCTTATCGCAAGCATTGAAGCACGCTTCAACATCATTCCTGCTCTGCAACGACCTGCAACCTCTCGTCCAACCGAATGCGAAGCCGGGCAAGGGCAAACTTCAATACGTCAAGTACGAGGATGTGAAGCCAATCATCGGCGAGGATCCTTTCGATCTGAGCGAAGAAGATATGATCAAGGCGTACGATAGCAAGAAGTACATCCCACAGATGATATTCCTGGGAATTGATGAGAAGGCAAAAGATGGATTATCATATCAAGGCAAGAATCTATACAAAGGCGCGCCATACTTCGCCGTCGATGTGACGCCTAGAGAGCACGTCGAATCGGAATGCCAGAAGCTCATACAGCGACTGAAGAACCATCACGGTTATGATTTCGGCAAGGGTCGTGTGATGGATATTGACCCCTCAGACGCCGCTATCTATGCAGAAGCACGCCAGCTCCTCGACTGGAATGCTCGCAATCCATTCTGTGCAGCATGTGGACACAGGACACTCAGTGTCAACGCCGGCTTCAAGAGAACATGTCCGCCGACAGATAAAGCCGCGGCAATAGAAGGACAAAACTCGTACGAGAGACCAGCATGTGTGACGCGAACTGGAATCTCCAATCTTTGTTTCCCTCGAACAGATCCTACGGTCATCATGGCCGTGGTTTCCTCAGACGGCACCAAGATTCTTCTCGGGAGACAAAAGCGTTGGCCCCCGTATTGGTACTCCACGCTCGCGGGCTTCGCTGAACCAGCGGAGTCGATCGAAGAAGCTGTTCGGAGAGAAGTCTACGAGGAAGCTGGAATTCTGGTCGGACGGGTTGTCATTCATAGCACGCAACCCTGGCCCTACCCGGCAAATTTGATGATTGGTGCCATTGGACAAGCGATACCGACGGGAGAGACGATTGATCTTGGGAACGATCCGGAGCTTGATGATGCGAAGTGGTTCCCGTTCGACGAGGTGAGAGAAGCGCTCAGAGTGGGAACGAGTGGGTTGGGCGAGGATTCTGGGCCTGAGTATAAGGAAGGTAATTTGAGATTACCGCCGAGCACTGCTATTGCAAACCAGCTTATGACGGCTGTGGCGAATGGCTTTGCTTCTGGGGAGTCGAAGATGTAGAGTGCTGATGGACGGAAGTTGGACACCCGCATGACGACACAGAGGTTTGTAGACGATGTAGAGGAAGCGGCAGCATGAGTATAGTGTTGAAGAATTCACGCTCAATCCCAAATACCACATCAGCTTTGTCCACAACCCATCATCATCCACAGGCACAACACGCCTACTTCTTCCCTCATCTAAACAAACACCCCATCCCCATCCCTAGCCCTCAAATACTCCTTCCTAAACCCATTCCTCTCCGTCTCCGGATCCCCCCTCTTAAGCGGCGTCCACTTCGGATCCTCCTTAAACAACCTCATCGCATGCGTAAAATTCCTCTCATCCGTCGTGAAACGATGAAAAATCCCCGCCGGCATAATCATAAGATCCCCCTTCTCCAACCGAATCCTCACCCAATCATCATCTTTGCTTCTCACATCAAAATACCCTCCACCATCCAAAATGTATCGGATTTCTTCGTCTTCGTGCAGGTGTTCGTCGAAGAAGGTCTTGACTTTTTCTTCGTAGTCGGGGAGGGTTTCTGGGGATATGCGGATTTCGTCGCGGTTTTTGTAGCTTCTTTCTGAGGCGATTTTGTTGACGGCTGGGAGGTTGTTGGGGAGTTCGTGGTGGATTATGCCGAGTTTGGAGAGGTATTCGGGGGAGACGGGGCGGCCGGAGTCGTGGGGGAGACGTTGGTCACCCTGGGATGGGTGGTGGGGTTAGTATGGGTTGTGGTGTTTCTTCTTGCGAGATGGATGCACGTGGAAGGGTAAGTAATGCAGAAGGGTGGGACTCACCTCGATGTTGTCGAACCAGTATGCCTTCATTGTAGTCAGATTTCGCGGATGATGTTGTCGCGTAGTCTGTGTGAGCGTTTTGCAAGTTGGAGTGTGTGGCGGAAAGTGATGGCGAGGTCGCAGAAGGCTTAATAAGTCGTCGCCGTCGTTGGCCTGACAAACTTCATGTTGCTGGACCCTGGGAAGCACGTCATTGGGCGAGGCAGGACGGGAGCAAATCACACAGCACGTGGAAGGCACATTACACATTCGTTACTCATCCAAATGCAGTGAATGCTGCGCTGCTCCTCGGTCGTCACGCAGCAGCCAGAGGGGGAGATTATTAATGCTGCGCAGATGTGGTGACACTGTTCGTCATATCGCTGTCTCAACAGTCAAGCATCAACCTGCCATCACTTGTCATAATGGGAGCAAGTGGACATGAACGGGAAGCAATGTCATTCATTCGCATTACTCCCAGGCACTTCTGTAGACAGGGCGATGCAGTCAAACACCATGAGATTCAAGACCACGCTCGAGGAACAAATCATCCACGATGCAAGCACGACTGATTGATCAAGGATTCTCAACCTCGCCATGCATTCTCAATCGCTCCTGAATCTTTTCAAGCAACATGACCTCCGCATCCTCCAGCTTTAGATAACGTGGTAGCTCGATCCTAAATGCTCGAATATGCACATCCTCTACACCGTCCACAAAGTCGATACGATTGCTAAACTCTCGTCGAAGAGTTCGATCACTGCTTTGCTATTAGCGGAGACTATCAGAGGAGCACCAAATAGACATCATACCTGCTAGCGTCGCTTATAGCCTTTCCTTGCGCTTTGCCCTCTTCAGCTGCCTTTTGCTCACGCTCCTGCTCCGGTTTTGCCTTCTCTTCTCTCAATTTGCGCCCAGTATTCCCCGGTGTCCACCAGTATAGTGGGTACTGTCTCAAGAGATTGTTGAAAAGGCAAGCCACAACAACCATGAGACAACTGTCGAGGAGTACAAGCGGCACGAACTTCCAGCCCATAGCGATGATTGCCGCCTCAGTCGAAGCCAGAACAGCCGTTGCCCCGCCAGGTGGATGAATGGTGTTTGTCAAAGACATTACCCAAGATGCCAGAGCACACCCAACAGCGCCTGAGACCCATTGAATGTTGTCAAAGTCCGAATTAAGCTGGAAAAGTTTCGAGATAGCCGTGCCGCAGATTGCTGCCAGTGTATTGCCAATGATAGAGTTCCTTGGCTGTGCAAGAGGCGATTTGATCGTGTTAAAGTCCAGGACCGCACTCGCTCCCAGTGAAGCGATCAGCACTGGAGGATGCCACGCCGTGATTCCTGGAGCATAATTCCCGATCCCAGCTACCAGACACAGTCCTGCCACTGTCGCGAGAAATGTGATCGGCCACTGTAGGACAGCATATGGTTCTTTCTGCGGACTTTCTCGATACCCAAGCCAGTGTCGAATCGGTTTGGGCAGGATATAAAGTCGATTATGAGGGATCCATGGGTTCAGATATCGGTCTACATCAAAGTCGAGTAATTGTCGCCAGGGCTCCGATTGCACCACCATCCTGCAAAGCTCTGGATTATACCTGCGCGCGGTAGAAGGGAAGAGCGGAAGATGTGCGGAAAGAGGCACGGTCGGCAAGAATGCACTGCACTCCACCGGGCTCCACCGTCGAGCTGCGAAATGGTGTGGAAAAGCGAGGGAATGTCACGTACATGTATTCAACATCCTTTCAGCCATGTTCAGTGACGTGCCGCGCGATTCAAAGAGCGTCTCCTCGGAACTCCCAAGCCGAATTTTCTCCGTCTGCCATCTCTTCTCCCCAAGTATCTGCTGGTCTAGCGCACGCCCTTCGCTGTGGTTGCACAACGCCCTTCGGAGGATCAGATTCCATCCTCAAAATCTCTCTCACGCCTTCGATCCAGCGCAGAATCGCCAGAGCGAGATTCTCGTAGTTCGGACATCTGTTTCATGGCGGAGAAGGTCAAGATCTGAGCCTGGTCACGCGGGGAGGCTAGATCGAAACCTGTACGTAATTGCTGGCTCTGAAGCCGCAACTCTGATGTGAGCTTCTGTCTTCTCCGCTGCAAATTATTGACAACGATAGAAGGAGATCTCGAAGGGAGCCTTGGAGGTGACAAAAGTGTAATGGAAAAGTTCAGGAAGAGATGAGGTTGAAAAGATTGCTTGTCGTTCTCGAAAAGATAAGGGAAGCCCGCACTCCTCGGAGAAAGAGATGCCTGCACGAGTGCCTTGTCACATTCTAAGGCACCAACCGAACCTAACCCTATAGCAGCTAGAGCTAGTGCTAGCTCCTAGGGCTCGGGCGGGAAGCGGCGAGGTGCAGATTGCAGCAATAGTCACAGCCAAGACGAACATTCCTTAGCGCAAAACATAGCAAGTCCAATGATCTTCGATTATTCGGGCTGGGGCTCGGATCTGAGACCAGCATCAAGAAACGTGGAAGGACTTCTTCTGCGACTGTGTGGAGAGTTTTGGTATGTATCACTATACAATTGCTCAATGCCCATCTATTCTATCCTCTCCGCCGCGCTGTGCGAAAATATTTTATGCCGCGACCCCATCTGTGCCGGTCATGCTTAAGACCATACCACACCATATTTAGATCCATACACACTCCATCATGTCACCCCTTTCACTTCTCTCTGTACATCCAACTCATATAGTCCTCCAAACTCTCCACCTTCTCCCGATGCCTCGAAAGCGGAGTCTCAACCCTGACAATCTCCTTCCCAGCCTCCAGCTCATCGATCTTACTTCTAATCTGTCTCCCCTTATCGCTCATACTCTTCAAGAAACGCATGTAGTGATCAATCTTCTGCGCTTTCGCATCACTCTCAGGATCGCCAGCATCTTCCTCTTCAGCGTCACGATCGAATGCAAATTTCCGGCGAGCTTTACAGTCCTCATATTTGGACCACGCCTTTCGAGAGCTCTCGTATTCTTTGAACAGGTATTTGACGTCCCACTTGTCGTCTACAGTGAGGTTTGTGGGGCGGTCTTGAGGCACGTCGCCGTTGACTTCGGATTGGCAGATGATAGTTGCGTAGAAGAGGGGTCGCAAGCCAGACGCTTTCTCTGTCTTGAGTGTGTTCAGGAAGGGGGAGTCAGCATTGGACTCGCTGCTGGGATTGTTGGTCTTGGTTTCGAGTGCTTCGCGGATTGTGGCTGTTGCTTCGTCGACATCTGAAGCAGTCTGTCCTGCTGGTACGTCCGCGTCCTCTGTCGGGTCCATCGCAGCTTGCTCGTCAACGACATTTGCAGAACCCGTCGCCTCAATGATCTTCTGTGCATCATCTGCAATGGCTTCTTCGGACGTGGCAGTCGTGACGTCTTCATTTGTGTCCTTGCCCAAGATGGTCCGCTCATATTCCTGAATCTTCTCCTTAGACTTGCTCTGGATTGTGTCGATCTCGTCTTCGGACATCGGCTCAGCAAATATATTCATGGCCGTGATCGCCGTGCCCTCTCCAGTCTCCTTCGGTTCTTGAGTCTCGAAGTGGATTCGTAGCGATTGCTCAGGGAATCTCGCTGTAGCTTTGTCCAGAACATCATTCAGCATCTTCAAGCTAGCCTTGAACTCCTGGTCACCAAGACAGGCGTCTGTCTGGCCATGCAGCACCCGGTCCATCTCGGATATTGGCACATATTGGAACCCGAAGATACGCTCGACGTTGTGATATGCAACGAAGATGCCGTTCATACGTCCCATTCGTGCTTGAAGCATATACTTGAGCATCGTAGTTCGCGTCATGTCGTAGAACTCACGTTCGTAAGATCCGTAGTGCCCCTGCAATCCATAAATCTCATATCCGGTCATATCTTCATGATCATTCGCTTTCATCCGCACTGAGACGACAGCGCGAGTCTTGAGATCGAAGGTACCATTCCCAGGTAGGCGAGGATCGTAGGCGTCTAGCTGCGACCGCATCAAGAAATCGCCCATGGTGGTGTATTGATATGCTTCCGGCGCAGTCCTCGACTCTTCGGAAACCTGTCGTGGGTCGCTCTTGCGATACTTCTCATACTCGTCGGTCGGTAGCGTAAGCAGAAGCTCCATTGACTTGCCGAGAAGCATCAACACATTCGGGCTGTCGTACTCTTTGTCCGCATCGATTGCATAGCAACCATTTTTCCATCTCAAGAAGATCGCATTCGGAGCCTTGTTGATTTCAGTGAGCTGTTTCGTGGTATCTTTGGAGAACCCTCTCGATATCATGGAGTGATTCAGCGGTCTCCAGTTCGAGATCAAGTAGTGAAAGTGAGCGAGCGTACTTGTCATGCTTGATGTTGAGCCAATGTATCGCTTGTCCTGTTGTTGCGCAATTGCTGACAGCGCCTTGTCCTGCGAAGATGTTTTATACTCCTTGAGCGCGTTGAAGTCGAATTCCCTCGCAGGCATAATCTTCTCAAGATACGGGTCAAAATTGTAGACCCGTGAAACGGGGTCCTTGAGCTGATATATTCCTGGATTGAAGAGGACTCGGTCCAGGCCATATTCCAGATATGGCACTGGCGGCTGAGGAATATCGAGTGGTGTAATCGCCAACTCGCTGAGTTCCATGGTATGAATCTCCTCAGAAGCATTGCCCTCAGAGCCGGCCTCCTCGGCTTCTGGTTCCGCTTTATCCTCTTGCGGCTCGACATAGGCAGGGCCGCCACGATGGCTACCTCGTTTGCCACCAGTGCGCTTGCCGCCTCTCATGGCCTCAGCAATGCTCATCCCTTGCGATTCCTCCGGTTCCTTTGCTGCATTATCAGGCCGTGAAACATCATTAGTCTCTTGTGCTTCGCTGCTAGCTTCTTTAAATTCAGCCGCCACACGTCTTTGCGACCGGAGTGCAGCTTTCCTTTGCCTGAAGCTCAAGCCCTTGAGATTGAGCTGATTACTTGCGCTAGCTTCATGTTTGATATCTGACTGCTGGTCTTCTCCGGGGCTGTTGCGTGGAAGGTGTTTTGCAGCAGGTGCATCATGGGATAGATTTGTCCTCACAAGTTTGTTCTTCTGAGGGCCTGCTTTTGATAAATAAATCCTGATGCTGGGCTCATGAGCCTCGCTATCGCGATTTGATGCTTCGGAGACAGGGACAGAGACAGGTTCGGACTGCTCATCACTTGTCACGGCTGGAGATGGTGGCTGCGATGTAGATTCTGGAGCAAGACTGGGTTCTTTCACTAGCTCTTGTTGCAATTCCGAGTGAAGCTGCGATAGGCCTTGAGAAGCTGGATGCTCCGGCTGTTCGATTTCCATTGCCGCGGCGTCTTGCTTGGTCTGGTCTTCTGCAGCTTCTGCAGCAGTCTTGGCTGGATGTTCAGACGCAGATTTAGTTGCAGAAAACCCCCACGGATTTATCAGTTTGTTCTTCAGGTCCGACAGCAAGTCCATCAGAGGTCGTTTGCTCGGAGTCGGCGGTTCGTTTTTGGGAGCGGGAGCCATCCCAGAAGGTGCATTATTCCTGGAAGATGGAACGTCCTTCTTGGGCGAGACGTGATCGGCCTTGGTCAAAAATTCGAACATCACGCCTTTCCCACTACTCCGCGATGATTCGTTTCCAACGTCCCCCCATGCCCCTCGATGATCTGCTTCCCGCAGTCGTGATGCAAGACCCTGAAGCGTTGTCGAGGATGTGTCGTCCGGCAAGCGTCCTCCCAAGCCGCTCAATCCAGGTGACGTCTTGGCTTTCCACACCTGAGGCCCAGTCTTCGTGGTAGACCCATCCTGCTTCGTCTTGCTTGCTGGCACGCTGACATTGTCAACAGCTTCACTGGGTACAAAGTCACGTCCTCGGCCTCTGAAAGATGGGAATGGCACAACTTCAGGCTCTTGCCGTTTCTCCAACTCCGCATCTTGCTCAATGGCTCTCAGGTCTGTTGAGGCACCAAGTGATGCTATGAAATCATCTAAATCACTTGAAATGGCTCGCTCGGCCTGATAGTGGGTTGCTTCCGCATTCGTGTTCTGCATTGACGCTCCCTGTCGGGAAATGTAGAAGTCAAACGATCTCTTGCCTTTCCTTGCCATCTTCTTGGTTTTAGTAGCGCTGTCGCTGTGCGTTCTACCCTCGGCCGAACCTGACATACTCTGCAACTGGTCTATGAGCAGACTCCCAGCGCCAGTCTTCTCTGCCTGTGCTTTTTCTTGTGCGCGTCTGTCAGACTTCGCGTCCGCCGGGCGTGCAACTCTTCCAACCCCATTGCCATCTCCCAGTTCATCTGACAGAGCTGTGACCAGATCTGCCATTGAAGTGGCCTCTCGCGAGGCGACTTTGCTTTTCTGCTTGTCTTGCTTCTTCTGCTTCTCCTCCTCGGCATTCTCTTTCGCGGATGCTATAGCGGACTTCAACTCCGCCGGACGTGCAATTCCTCCAGCTCTATTACCATCCACTAAATCATCTGACAGAACTTTAACTAAGTCTGCCATCGAAGCAGCCTTGCGCGAGGGGACTTTGCTTTTCTGCTCGTCTTGCTTCTTCTCCTGCTCCTTCTCCTGCTTGGCATCCATTTTCGCGGATGCTGTTGAGAAGCTCGAATAATTGTCGTTGATGTCGTTCAATGTGTCAAACCAATTCTCGCCGCCAGCTCCTCCACCGTTCGATGGAGTCGAAGATAATTCGCTGTTCCATCTGCGCTGCGTGCGCTGCGATCGTTGCCATTGCCGTCTGCAGGCAAGACAAGCGTGGCCATGATTGCTCCATGCGGGAGAATGAGCCGCTTTCGTCACCCTGTGCAGCATCGAAGAGAATGCGCTGAAATGTCAATGTCGATGTCAAGAGCGACAATTCGCCTCCTGCAAAGAACGTGAAGGCTTCGCTTCGATAACTTTTAGCGTGGAATTGAGCACGGACAGGGATCATCGGGATTCGGGTCGGGAGAGCCCGAGCGCGTCCTGATCACAGCCAACACAGCATGAAGCCAGCTGCTGCCCCTTTACATTTCATCGTCTATGAGATATTTAGGTAGAAGTTATGCAGTGGAATTGAGGCGGATAACATCCCTTCCACCCGACTTCATGGCAGGAGTCATTGAAAGTCACTAATGCCTCTCTAGCACTCATGCACATCTCACATAGCCTTCACCTCTCTCGTGAATCTTGGAATCTCCCTCCTGAAGGCTTCCGGATTGTCTCTGGCACCCTCCTTCCAATACTCATACTCCATCCACGCATCTTCCGGCATCTGTTCTTCCATGGCGGCGATCCAATTGCCCAAAGCTGGTGCCAAAGGAATGACACCGGTCTCGAGCACATACTGGTCCCACATCTTGATCATCTTCTCGAGCCGCTCAGGATCCTGCTCAGCAAGGTCAAACACCTCACCCGGATCCTTGGCTAGATTGTACATCTGCCATTTCTCAGGTCCCTTGGGCTTGGGAATAAAGACAATCTTCCAGTCTCCACAGCGCACTGCTGCACGGCCGCACGTCTCCCAGCCTTGGATGAAGTCGGCGGGGTGGATTGAGGGTGCAGTGCCTGTTATGTATGGCACCATGCTCTTGCCACGCATATGGACCACTTCCCGTCCTTGATACGTCGGAGCAGGGTGCTCCACGCCCGCCATCTCGAGAATGGTCGGCGCAAGATCCATGATAGTGCTGAAAGTGCTTGAGATACTTCCTTTCTCATTCGTGATGTGAGAACCAGCCTCTTTGCCTTTCACAATTCCAGACGTGATAGAACCACCATCTGAGCGCACATTCATGCCGACCGGAAACTTGGCAAGGAATGGCACGCGCACACCACCCTCAGTTGTGAATGCTTTGTACAATCTGCTCGGAGCTGTAGCGGCCTGTGCCCATCTTGGACCGTACCAGATAAAGCTGTCGCCCCGACCTAGGTTGTCCAGGGCATTGTTGTAGTATTTCTTCAAATGACCAAGCATGGTGCTCTGAACGATAGGATACGCCTCGTACGCGGCTCCTTCAGCTCCATTGTCGGACATGAAGCAGACGAAAGTATTGTCCAACTCGCCAGTCTGTTCGAGGTAGTCAACGACCTTGCCCACATTTGCATCAATGCATTCCACCATTGCAGCAAAGACTTCCATGGCCTTGCACGACTTGGCCTTCTCTTCTGATGTCAAGTCCTTCCACTCTTTCACCTCGTCTGCTACTACCGGGTGAGGCGCCACATCCTCCGAGCATAAGCCCATCTCTTTCATTCTCTGCAGACGCTTCTCGCGCAGCACGTCTGGACCTTCGTCGTAGACGCCCTTGTAGTGAGCAATATACTCATCGGGGGCTTGAAGTGGCCAGTGAGGGGCGGTGAATGGGAAATAGGCGAAGAAAGGTCTCTCGTCCTTCTGCTCATGGCGTTCCTTGAGATATTGCAACATCTTGTTCCCGTAGCCATCACTGCTGTACCAGCCCTCTGGCAGTTTCCTGACATACTCGCCGTTCTCGGAGTGGAGAGCAATGAAGCTCATTGTCATGAAGTCAGGGATTTGATCCTGCCCTTCCAGCTGCGGCTCATAGGCATAATGATTTGAGCAAGCAGGCAGATGGGCAAAGCTCTTCTCGAAACCACGCACATGGGGAGAGTGTTCAGGTGTGAGCCCTAGGTGCCATTTGCCAGCCATGAGAGTCTGATAGCCAGCATCACGGAGAATCTCAGGCAGAGCTACTACGCGTTCGTTCAGATATCCCTCGTACCCGGGCATGCCTCTTTGAGGGGCTGTGGACCAGTACTTGATCTCGCCCTCGGAGGGGGCGTTCTGATCAGAACGGTTCGTCCATTCGATCAAGTTCCCAAGCCCAGCAATATGATGGTCGGTTCCGGTCATGAGCATAGCTCTGCTCGGAGAGCAAGCTGCCGCAGCATGGAAATCTGTAAAGCGCAAGCCATTGAGGGCCAGCTTGTCAAGGTTTGGTGTTCTGATCTCGCCGCCGAAGCAGCTCAGATCACTCCATCCCAAGTCATCTGCAAGAATGACAAGGAAGTTGGGTCTCTTGGGCGCGGCGCCAGCGGTTCCGCTTGAATCCTTTGATGCGCTCATGTCTGCCTCCGATCAGCATGTAATGTGGCTGGACTGTGGTCGGTAGTAGAAGAGACGTGCTGGCTGAGTGAACAAAGGAGAAGTCAAGAATGCAAAGCACGCAATTGTTTCGGTGTGAGCAGCTACGCGGCCTGTAAGGTGTCCCAGTGCCCCGCCTTGGTAGTGTACAACATGGCCTCGTTGTCTCTGCGACAGTCGCCCAAGGCGTGGCACTGGAGGGGATGGCAGAGGCGTTGTCTTTCTGCGCACGGTGGAAACGAGTCAGATAACCTCAGCAGGCGCCAGGCACCAAGTTGTTGCCAACGTCGAACTCTCGGAGAACAGCGGGGACACAGAAATCCTGACCACCGAAATCACCGACCTGACCACCGAAATCACCGACCTAACTACCGATCTAACTAATCGGATAGAACCGTAGTAGTCCGTACGGTAGTCCGTGCGTAGCCCCGGCTTAAGCTAGCCCTACTTTCCGAAAGTTAATAGGAATCGAATAGGAATCGACTAAGAATCGAATAGGAATTGAATAAGAATCGACTAAGAATCGAATAGGAATCGAATAGGAATTAAATAGGAATCGAATAGGAATCGAATAGGAATAGGAAAGGAATAGGAATAGGATAAGAGACAAAGTAGATTTCTATAGCTTTAGATAACTTTAATAACTAAAAAACTTATAAATCTAAAACTAGATACGCTTAGTAGGCATAAAAATAGAATTATATATAAGTTAAGGCCTAGCGCTATAATTTTATAAGCTATAGCCTATAACTAAGTAAACAAATTGCTTTTATAAAACTCTTAAAGAATTCTAGTATAATTTAATTAGAAATTATATAGAAACTAAACAGGTCTAGAAGGCAAACATAGTCCTAGCTTTACTTCTAACTAGATAATACTAGAGTAGTTCTAGGTAGAACTAAGTAGTAGATCTAATTCTAGATATAATAATATCTAGTAGTGTTTTTGTATAGTTATATATCTAGTATATAGAGCTATATTGTTATTAATCTGTATTTGTTTTTTATAGGAGTATATTTTAGTACTATCGATATCCTACTTATATTCTAATTAAACTCGTTACTAGAATTAGTGCTATTATCAAAGCAGATTTTTCTTCTAATTAAACTAAGTTGTATTACTTTAAAGTTTAATCTAATAATATATTCTATATAGGTAAGCTATTTAGTTATTCTATTTAGTACTTAGCTAAGTTTTTCTAAAATTCTATATAAATTCTATATAAATTCTATATAAATTCTTTCTAAATTCTTTCTAAATTCTTTCTAAATTCTTTCTAAATCCTTTCTAAATCCTTTCTAAATTCTTTCTAAAATTCTTTCTAAATCCTTTCTAAATCCTTTCTAAATCCTTTCTAAATCCTTTCTAAATTCTTTGATTCCTTTCTAAATTCCTTCTAAATTCTATTTTAATCCTACTAGTCGAATTCTATATTAATCCTACTAGTCGAATTGTTTTTAAGTTCTATTAAATTAAATCTTATTCGACTAGACTAATTCGAGTTCTATTTATATAGATTCGATTAATACTACCTAACTAGGCTCTATTTAGATTCTATATTAAATTTCTACTATCTAAATCTATTTTTAAAATTCTTTTAAATTTTTTAAAATTCTATTCTACTTTCTTTCTATTCTGTTTTCTTTCTGTTCTATACGTACTAGCTACTGTAATTAATTTTTATTATCTAAATAGTTAATAGGCTCTAAGTCTAGTTAGAGACAGTCTTAGTAATTAGCTAATATAATTTTTAAATATAGCTAATCTACTAGCTAATTAGTTATTTTAGTATTTAGCTAAACTATTTCTAAAATTCTATCCGATTCCTATCCGATTCCTATCTAATTCCTTTCTAATTCCTTTCTAAATCGTTTTTTTAAAGATATTATATTAACTCTATTTAAATTCTATTTAATTCCTATCCGAATCCTTTCCGAATCCTTTCCGAATTCTTTCTAAATCCTTTTAAAAAAATCTTTACCCTATAGTAATATTATAGAAGTAAAAAAATAAAAGATTATTTATTTCTTATAAGAATTTCATTTCAATTCTATTAGAACTATAATAAACTTATTTAATGGTTTCGCATTCCAATTAGATTAAGCCTCGGCTAACCCCCTGTTATTTTAGAGTTCCCAACTACCGCGGTGGTTAGCTCGGCGATTTTGGTAGTTAGACCGGCGCTGCTCTCAACTCTCGGAGAACAGCATCGGTCCTTCGGTTCATCGGCTGCCGAAGTTCACCACCACCTGCGACCTGTGGTGCCTACATTATGATTGACATCAGTCTTCTATGCTAACCATCAATAAAATACTTATCCAGGCACCGCGATAATGTACGAGGTTTCGAGTCTTGCGATAAGCCATGGTGTGAAGTCGATGAAGTCGAGGAAGAAAGACATCACGAGTCCTTCACACCCGCCAAATTGCTAGCAAACATACCAAGCATCACCAGAGAGATGATAGTATACAACCGTAGAACATCATCCATCACACACATAACGCCACCTCCCTCATCATCGAATCGTAAACAACACATCCTCCCCCTCCCCCCTCTCCCTCACGCCCCGAATCGCCTCACCATACATAACCCCGTGCAAATAACATTCTCCCAGCACATACCAAGCCCCACTCTCGCCCTCATCACTCTCCCGAAAAACATACGGCACTCTCGATCCATAAAGTATGACGATGCGATCACGTTTCCTCAACAATCGAGGCCCCAACCCGGTTCTCCCGCTCAAAGTGACGAAGAAGCGACGATAGCTGCAACTCGGTCCAAATTGGTCGAAATACCGCGCCGCTCCGAGCGTTTCCGCAGGCGTGGTTGTCGGGTCGAGTTCATGGAATGGAGGAGGAGGAGGAGGAGGAGGAGCTTCGCTGCGGTCTCGTAGGTAGTTGAGAAGGTGGGTTCGATCGAGAGCGTCTGGGGAGGCGGCACGTTGCTGTGCTCGGTTGTAGCCGCCGAGCAAGGTGATGCCCACGGCTTCGTCGCTCATCGAAGTCTGCTGGGCGAGGCTCTCGACCTCCTCCATCCAGGGTAAGATGTGAAGAGCGGTGGTGACGTTCGGGCGACTGCAGTCATCCAATATGGATGTGAAGTCCTGGATTTCGTCGACGAGAATTCCACGCAGCACTATTGTGTTCACATCTTTCTCGAGCTGCATCTCTTCATCGGACTGCTTGATGTAATTCTGAGCGACAAATGCATCGCGGAGAAGACGGGGACCGTCAAGCATTTGGGAACGCTCGGCCCAGACGGGCATCCAAGACGGGCGGTCACGACCAAGAGACTCTTCAGAGCTGTGATTGACATATCGCATGATGTCGGCGCCCCAACCGCCTTCGATGATGGCACGTTTTGTCGCATCACGAAAGACCTCATCCACAGATCGTGTATAGTCAGGTATAACAGGAGGCTGACTCTTCCGGAAGGCTTCAGAAGGGCGATGGCCCTCCAAAGTCTTGAATGCCTGCTCCTTGGGGCCAGTCATACGCGTCTCCTCTGCATCATGGTCATCGAGTGGTACTGGCCGTGCAAGCTCGAGAAGGGAGTAGACCCGATCCTTGGGATCTGATGCGAGGAAGTCTTGTTGCATTTTGAACAGAGTCATGGCCGACATGCCATATCTTGAAATTCGATAATTGCATCCATTCTGGGGGTCAGTCAAAGGCCATACACTTGCAGCTTGAAAGAAGCCTGCCGTGTCGGTCAATTCGCGTGGGAGATAGGCAGATTTATGCCGGAGCCAGATCAATGCTCGGACAAGATCGAGGAGTTCGATAGAATGAGATCCGTAGATGCATGTGCTATGAGGCGCCAGGGCGGTCTCTTGGATCACCCACAGACGGCTGTGGACATGTCAGTGCTTCAACATGCGACCAAAGGAGACGAGACGACTTACGAGAACCAATCGTTCGAGAGAAATGCTACCAGTGCCGGTACGTCTATCTCAGCTTTGAGGTCCGTTGAAGACCACAGCCAGTCCTGATACTTGTAGTCATACACCACAGCCCACAAATCTTCAAAATGATTGCTATTCTGACGTGCTTCATCCACAATGTTGCGTATGCTTTGCAGAGCCGGACCCACAAAGTCTCCATCTTCTCCAAGATAGATGAGATTACCGGTCGAGTGACGAAAAATCTCTCCCATCAGGCTGACCTGAACAGTACGCTCGTCTACGTCGCGCTGATTTATGCACAGAGCGTCGATCCCTGGATCAAATCAGTAGAACACTCGGATGCATTGCGAAGATCTAGAGCTTGCATAGTGTTCGAGGTCTGTCCTCGCGACGCATTCGTCTTATCGCCATGGCAGTGCTCGCCGGCACCGAGACTCTGTGGCCATTGACAATGACCTCGGATCGATGTAGGGAGTTGCCCCAGCAGTACGATATGGTCTCATAGGCAGGAAGCGGGCGCTCACCAAGACTCTTGTGGGTCATGGAGCAGATGATCTTGGGCTCATCATGCGGCGAAGGATGAACATCGAGCAGCCGGAACTCCTTCAAAGGACGATATGGGAAATGGTGTCCTTCGCTGTCGGTGGCGGACATACTACCGATAATGTCTTGGTTGACTCTGGACGCTGCTGCCATATTGAAATCTTTGGAGGTCAACGAGTGGGATGGCAACAATATTCAACGCCACTCGGGAGCAACTAGGTGTTGTGCGCTCTATTAAAAACTGCCAGGCAGTCAAAGGTGAAGCAGGTGCGGCCTCTTCTACCCTCAGTCTTGGCTGAAGCATGAGTTGTACCTTTACCAGCAGCGTACAATAGGAGGCCTCGACTTTCGGCACCTGCACGCTCATCGCATAATAGCCGCTGTGCGACGCCACTGTCATCATAATTGATATCTCGCTTACGACGAGCTGGACCGCAGAGGAAACGGATGTACAGGTCTCACTCCGAGGTTGTGTCAAGTCGAGTGCGGTGTCGATTTGTATGTTGGGGGTATCTTGCAACGAGGTGTAGTTGGAGGTGAGTGAGCGGATTGCCCGAAGTCCCTCGACGGCTATTCTAGTTGGAAGCTTTCGAAGCTAGAGAAGTCACAGCTAGCGGCTGCCTACCACTCTCATCAAATGTGTCTCTTTCATGCTGTATGGAGAAGCATCATCGCTCATGGTTGCACAGGCGAGATGAAAGGTAAATTTTTTTCAATAAGGCTCCTCCTAATACTCCATGGTTACAGCTTTCTTTCCGTCTGGAGTACCACCCCGTTACCTGAACCTAGAGAAGGCACTAGTTAACGGACTGCTCTCAATGGAAGTAGCTATCTAGGACGTCATGAGTATGTAAGAAATCAGGTAAGTGGTGAAGGGCATGCAGACAGCATTTGATGAAAATTCTGGTCTCATGTGGCCTCTACCAAAAAGGCAGAGTGGACGTGGAAGATGCCCGAGCTCAATTACTTCACCTGTACGCTGGGAGAAGCCCAGGCTCACAGAGACGATACATTCGCAAACATCACCGACTTCATCGAGCAACAAGCGAAGTCATATCCCGACTATCCTGCAGCTGGATTTTATACTCCTTCATCAAAGTCGAGCGCAACGTGGCACACGGATATCTTTACTTTCCAAGATGTTCTATCCCGATCGGTTGGCACAGCAAATGCCTTGGCGGGAATCCTAGAAGTGGATGGCAGGAAAGTGGTTGCCTTGCTCTGCCCCAGCACCGTCGAATTTTTATTCACCTGGTTGGGCCTGATTCGACTCGGTCATTCTGTGCTGTTGGTCGCTCCGCAGAACTCGTCGAAAGGGGTGGCAGAGCTTTGCAAGCAATGCAATGCCCAGAATCTCATCTTCGACAAAAAGTATGAGCAGCTGGCGGAGGAATCAAGGGTAGAGGCCGGGACAGACTTTGAGTTGAAGCTGCATAATTTACCACAGGTTGATCGTGCACGCGCTGATCGTCCAGCTGCCGAAGGAGAGTTGAAGGAAGGCGTGTCTAGAGCTGATATTGCATACCTTTTTCACACTTCTGGCACGTCAAGCGGTATTCCCAAGCCAATCCCGCAGTCCCATTATGCCGGCGCGGGAGTCTTGCCGCGGCTCGACGGATCAGGTTCTGCAACCTTTTCAAGCACTCCCTTATATCATGGCGGTATTGCGGACCTCTTCCGTGCGTGGACAAGCAGGGCGTTGATATGGCTGTTCCCGAGCAACGATGTCCCCATGACAGCTGCCAATATTGTTCAATGCCTGAAGACGGCGAGTCAGACAGAAGGTCCTCGTATCAAGTACTTCGCATCAGTGCCGTATGTGCTTCAGACCATGGCCACTGATGATGTAGGCCTGCAGCATCTGCAGGGTATGGAGATGGTGAGCGTGGGTGGATCTGCTCTCCCCGAGGAAATCGGGAACAAGCTAGTCGAGCAAGGGGTGCGTCTCGTGTCTCGCTTCGGGAGCGCAGAGTGCGGATTCATCATGTCATCTGAGCGAAACTTCGAAATGGATCGCGGTTGGCAGTACCTCCGACTCTCTCAGGCAGGAGCAGCATGGCTCAAATTCGTGGAGCAAGAGAGCGGTCTCTTTGAGCTTGTAGTATTGCCCGGTTGGCCGCATATGTCCAAGCCGAATCGTGCCGACGGATCGTTTGCGACTTCTGACTTGTTTGAGCGACATCCTGAGCTACCCGACGCATGGCGCTATCATTCCCGAGCGGACTCTCGGCTGACGCTTACCGTCGGAAAGAGCTTCGACCCAGCGCCTGTCGAAGCGGCCTTAGTTGCTCGCTCCGAGCTTCTTCAGGATGGGCTTGTGTTTGGAGAACAGAAGCCATACCCCGGTGCTTTGCTCTTTCGATCGGCCAAAGCTCGAGACATGAGCGACGAAGAGCTTCTGGACCGAGTGGCGCCTGAGGTAGAACGAGTCAATGGAGATGGCGAGGCTTACGCGCGCATCTCGCGCAACATGCTCATCCCAATGCCGCATTCTGAAGAGCCGCTCGAGAAGAGCAGCAAGGGGACAGTTCTCCGTGGCAAAGCCGAGGAGAGGTACAGCTATGAAATCGAGTCAGCATACGGCCAGACGTCAGCTCTGAAGCAGAATATACCCGACGACCAAGTGAAGTGTGTCATCACCGGGATCGTCGGCTCCGTCATGGGTTGCCAAAACTCCCGAGCAGAGGAGCTGGACTCGCACACGGATCTGTTCGCCTACGGCGTCGATTCCGCGGCATGTTTGCAGATACGCCGCGCCGTGTCGGTATTGTTGCCTGAGAACTCTCCCGTGCTGCCCATGACCATCGTGCAAGATTGCGGCACCATAGCGCAACTCAGCAAGACCATCCTGGACATGCGACACGGCAGGCACACTGGGCGCGACGGCAGCAGCGACCAGCGGGCACTCATGCAGAGTCTTGCCGAGCAGTATGGCCAGCTTCAAGCGGGCGTCTCCAACATTTCCACCACCTCTCCGGACGCCTCTGGACGTCGTAAAGCAAAGACCATCTTGATGACAGGCGCCACAGGTGCGCTTGGAAGCCACGTGCTGGCGCAGCTTCTGGTACGCCCGACAGTGTCGCGCATCCATTTGCTTCTTCGCGGCGACAGTCCAGAGGCTGCAGAGCAGCGCGTGTTGAAAGCGCTAGAGCAACGAAACCTTGCAGCAGCGCACAACTTCATGACCAAAGCCGTCATACACACATGCAATTGGTCCAGCCAAAGGCTGGGCCTTCCGGAAGACATATATCAGCAGCTCGTGCGAGAGGTCGACGTGCTGTACCATCTGGCATGGGCAGTCGATTTTACCCTGCCGCTGAATGCTTTCAAGCAGCACTTTGCCGCTCTACAGACCCTGCTCAACTTCGCGGTAAGTTCACTGCACCACCAACACCAGCCCGATGGGAAGATCACCCCTCTGAACTTCGTGTTTTGTTCGAGTGCCGCTTCCGTCGCAAATTACTCGGTTTCGTTCTCAGGAGGAACGGTTCCAGAAAGAGTCATCACAGACCCCAGCGTAAGCAGCCCTGCGGGCTATTCTCGCTCAAAATGGGTGGCGGAGAACATCTGCCATCAGGCCGCACTTGCCCACCCAGAGCTTGCGCAAAGCGTGAGCATTGTGAGGCTCGGCCAATTGAGTGGAGATACTGTCCACGGCATCTGGAGTAAGTCGGAAGCCTATCCACTGATGCTAGCGAGCGGCAAAGTGACCGGTTGCCTTCCAGATCTTCCACACGAAGCTGTTGCCTGGCTGCCGGTGGACAAAGCTGCCGCCGCTTTCATCCAACTTGGACTTGGTGCTCTCAAGCGGCATCAGGATGAACAGATTCTGGCGCTGCATGTGCTGAATCAGGACAGCACCACCAGCTGGAGCATGCTTCTCGATTGGATACGGAGCGTAGAGCCCTTCGAAGTGCTTCCATCGAGTGAGTGGCTCCTGAGGCTTGAACACTTGAGCAGCAAAGGTGAAGAAAGCCGCGGCGAGAATGGTGATCGCCACCCGGCTCTGATGCTGCTCGACTTTTGGAAAAAGGCGTATGGCCGCCATGACGGACCATCAGGGAAGGAGGCCGCCTCCTGCCGCCTCGAGACCCAGCGCACAGTAGCATCAATGCCGACGCTTTCTGATATCCAGCCGGTGGATCGGGAGTATGCGCTCAAGCTCTGGAAATGGATCAAAGAGACCGTATAGACTTGACCATGTGCCATATCGACCGCCATATCCTCGTCACTACGCAGACAGAGTCGGAAGCCACCGAACTGGGCCTACTGTCCACACCATCTCAACACGACCTCCATCAGTATCAGTATCAATAAGATAGATCGATCGTTAACAAAATAATACAGCGAGTGCAGGCCACCTATACGTGGCATCGCACTGACCCTCCAAACGCCATGCTGTCCCTTCGCCGCCCGCCGTCCATCTATGCACGTCCTCTGCTCCCATCTGTCGTGCCAAGCGATGTGCCCAATGCTTGCTGCTGTAGTCCCAAACGCCATTTTGTGCAAAGCCACATTCCTTGTGCCAGCTCTGCGTAGAAACACACTCCGTTCAACGCGTCATCGATCAGCCAACTTCACCATCAACCACAGCTAGTCGCTGCTTGACCGTCTTGGCCTTTTTGCTCAGTCCTTTCCGTTTTTTCGCAGGCGGACCATCCATTGCCGAGATTGGCGTCGCTGCGCCCGATGGCTCATGAGAAGCGTTGTCCTCGAACTTGCCTTCGCCTGTGATGATGTTAGAATGCAGCCCATGGTGGGAATGGGTTGGTGGAATCAAAACTGACCTTCGTGATACATGTCATCCATGGAAACCTCCTTCTTCTTGCCCACGGCAGCGTTCTTTCGCTTCTTCTTGCCACCAGCCTTGGCTTCTTCCTCCGCCAATTCGATCTCACGACGCTCCATAGCCTCGGCTTGGTCATCGTCTGCCAGCCACATGGCCATCTCTCGCGTACGGTTGTTCTCGCGCGACCGATTGTTGAAGTCCACAGTGCTTCCAGCTTGGCCCGTGATGACGACACGCTGCACTTCTTCCTTCTGCAGCGCTCGCTTTCTGATACGCTCTTCGATGGTGCCACGAGTGATGAGACGATAGACCGTGACTTGTCGTGTCTGCCCGAGACGATGTGCTCGGTCCATGGCCTGGGAATCGATCGTTGGGTTCCAGTCGGAGTCGTAGAAGATGACGGTATCAGCCGATGTCAAATTGATACCCAAGCCTCCAGCGCGGGTGGAGAGCAGGAACACGAAGATGGACGGATCGCTCTGGAACGCGGCGACAGTGTCTCTTCTGTCTTCGAGCTTGGTAGACCCGTCCAGTCGGCAATACTTGTACGCTCGATAGGTGAGATATTCTTCCATCAAGTCGATCATGCGTGTCATCTGGAAGTAGAGCAGCACACGGTGCCCGCCGGCCTTCAGCTCGCGCAGCAGCTGATCCAGCTTAGCCAGTTTACCTGAGTCGGTCACGAAACGGCGCATGCTCGGGACCTGAATTTTGGTGTATCGCTGTTTCTCGGACTCGGGTGCAGGTAGCAGGTTGGTGACTGGATATTTCGAAGCAGGAATCTTCGACTGCAGCAAGGCACGTTCGGTCTCGTAATTGATTGGGTATAGCGCGCGACGAATTGGCACATTGAAGAAGCTTGTCTCTTGCTGGAGGAGTGCTTGCTGGCTCGGACAGACAAATTCTGCAGGAGGTGCCGTAGCTTTGGGCAGGTAGCACGTCTCGATGACCTTGTAGCCCTTCTCTTGCATTGCGGTCGATGAGATGGTGAGAAGCTTGCCAAGATTGCCGTCAACAGCGATGTCGGCAAGTGGCTTACGGTCGTTGCGCTTGACGATGTTGAACATGGCGTGCACAGGAGTCCATCCGGCGTTGATCTTTTCGTCATCGAAGTCATCGTATGCAACCTTGAGCTTGCCTGCGCGATCATCTTCCTTAGCGAGCTCCACGACACGGTCAATCAAGCCTCGCCGCGCAGTGCACGCAACTTCTCCAGCAGACTGGTCCACAAAGCGCAGCCAGGAGAAGCCGCCGCGGCCCTTCTGACTGTTCTGGATGTTCTGCGGGTCCCAAATGCTGAGCTCGTTGCTCAGCCACTTGTTCCGCCAGCCGGCTTGAGGATTATCGGGTCCAGCCACGTTGAGCAGGCCAGGACTGTCTCCAAGCATGCTCGGCATCCAGCACTCGATCGGACTTCGCACACTGTACGCGACATTGACATTGTGGCCCTCGCGCATGAAGGAAGCTGTTTCGGCATATGTGGACATGGACATCGGACTCCAGGTGTCTGCGCGTTCAAACAGATCGGGATGGTTGCAGACCTTCCGGAATTGCATGACAAGGTTCATGAGCGTCGCAGTGTCCTGATCGTCGCCAACAGCTGCTTTCTCGAGCAGATCCATGATGCTGATCTTGTTGCGCAAGTTGGTGTAGTACGCTCGCTGGCGGTAGGTGAGATCGCAGAAGACGTCCTCTTCAATCTTGTCACCAAGCTCTTTCTGGACATGCTTCTTGATACGTCGCAACATGAAAGGCTTGAGGATCATGTGAAGTCGTTTCAGCTGATCCTCATTGAGCTTCGTATTCGATTGCGCGTGGTTTTCGATATCTTTGGAGAACCATTCGGAGAACTCATCATGGCTGTCGAAGAGCGAAGGCATGATGAAATGGAGCAGAGCCCACAGTTCCTGCATGTTGTTTTGGATGGGCGTACCGGTCAACAGCAGTCGATTTCGGCAATGGAAGCCAAGCAGGGACTTCCATCTAGATGACTGTGACGATTTGATGGCCTGGGCTTCATCCAAGATCATGTACTGCCACTTGACTTTCTGGAAGTAAGCAGTGTCTTGCACAACAAGTTGGTAAGAAGTGACCAAGACGTGGAAGGGACTGTCGCGATTGTAGGTGATGTGCTTCCGGTCCCAAAACTTCCGCAGCACTTTTCGATCCTTTGCAGATCCCCAGTATGGAAGCACCTTGATCGAAGGGACGAACCTGGTGATCTCCTGCTGCCAGTTGTGAAGCGTACTTGCAGGCGCGATGACGAGGAAAGGTCCCCAGATGTTGTGCATCTCTGCAAGATACGCCATGACGGAGATCGATTGCACAGTCTTTCCCAGACCCATCTCGTCCGCCAAAATGCCGTTGATACCCTGCTCGTACAAATTGACCAGCCAATTGAGACCTTTGACCTGATATTCCTTGAGCTGACATGTAAGCATCTTGGGTTGCGTGACATCCATGCTCTGCAACGATGTCGGGTTCTGGAAGTTCATCTCGCCTTCATCGAAGTTGGCTTGGGCATCTGCAAGATCCTTTGAGTCACTTTCGCCGTCCGAATCTGGCTTGTTGAATGCCTTTGCACGATCCTGCGCTTCCTTCAAAGCATTCTGGGCATTCGCCATCGCAGCCTGCTGCAGTGCAGTCTCGTCTTCGGCATCAAAGTCCAGATCCTCGAAATTGGTGACCTTTGCTCCCGGGTTGGCCACTGAGTCGGGCATATCAATTGTCTTGGTCGCGTGTGGATCGTCTTCAGCCTTCCTCTCGCTGGGTTGAGCGGCATCGCCGTCGACGCCATCTTTCTCATAATCGTCGGTCTTGACCTTCTTGCGAATGAAGTGAGAATACAGTTCGGTCTGCGAGATCAAGAAATTGAGCTTGCGCTTCTGGCGATTCGCTTCACGCTCAGCTTCAACTCTCTTGGCCTTGTCCAGCTCTTGTTTCTCAGCGACCTTCCTGCCTTCACGTTCATCGCGCTCATTTCGCTTCCAGAAGCCGAGCATTTCACGCATAGCGCGCTTGGCACGAGCAGCGACATCTTTCTGGCTCTTGTTGGTCTTGAGCTGCCAGCGACGAGCTTCCTTTGCCGCGAGCTGGGCTGTCTTGCGAGCGTTCGATTGCTTGGTATCAAGGCTGTTGTTCTTAATCCGGACAACCTTGGGCACACCTTTGGCGATTTCGCGCGTGATCTGCTCGTAGATTTGATTGTAGCCTTTGCTCTCGAACTTCGCCATTCCTGTCAAGCCTGCGGTTGGCTGGATGTCGAAGGTAACAGGAGTCGCCTCACTAATTGGCTCCGAGTCCTCACGCATTTTGCGTTCAGCATATGCGGCGAGTCGCTCTTCCTCCTTTGGTGCAATCAGAGGCAGGTCCTGACCTTGATCGAGATATGTCTGCGCGAGCCGTGCATTCTCCTTCTCGGCGGCCTTCTGCTCCTTGCTCTTACGCGCGCGACCAGATGCACCGCCGCGGCCACCACGACCCCGACCTCTGCCAGTCGGTACGAATTCGGGAGTACCTTCGTCCATACCGCCCTGTCCGCTAGTGTAGAAGGATGTCATCAGTCCGCCTTCTAAATTGACCTCACGCTCGCGGCGGTAGAGAGCGGCGGCATTGTGCGGAGATTCATTGCGGAACTCCTTCGAAGGCGTGATGCCTTGAAGTCTGCTCTGCGTATCACGGATCTTCTTATCGTATCGCTGAATCTCACGCTCCAGCCGAGCCTTCTCTTCTTCGTTCTCGGTGGTCTGTAATGTCTGCAGCGCTTCCTCTCGCTTCTGCTGCTCATCAGCAATAGCCTTCTCACGCCTACGCTTCCGCTGCTGGTCCTTCTTGCGCTCCTTGTCTTCCTCAACTTCTTTGAGACGAACTTCTTCGGCCACCTCCTGCTCGTACTGGTCGACGAAGACTGTACGCTCAGAATCGGCAGCAGCGCTGAAGTGGTCATGATACTGGGTCATGAGGTCGAGTCGTCGTCTCTTTCTTTTCACGTTCTCGGCGATCTCCTGCTCAAGCGCTCGCTTGTGCTGCCTCTGCTTGTAGTCCAGCTTGGCTGTCTGAGTTTGCTGCGAGTCTTCATTCTCAACATCCGACAGATCCAGAGCTTCAATCTCCTTGTACGCAGCCTCAGTATCACGAATGGTCAAGCTAGGTGGTCCAGTCTGGGGGGGAAGAGGTTGCAGCGGCGGAGCTGCGCCATGGGCATGTGGTGATGCCATGGCGGGGTCTGTGGAGGCGACAGTAGGTGGTACTGCTGCTGCTGCTTCTCTGCCTTTCAGCGAAGCACTCGATGTCCGACTCGCCTTACGACCGGGCGGCTTTGATGCTGTCGGCTGATCTGCAGGCATCGAGGGTTTCCGGGAGCGCGGCGGTGCAGCTTTGATGTCTGAAGCAGGCGCTGGAGCTTCTGGGGCATCTGAAAGAATAGATTGCATGCTCATAACGTTCCGACGTGTCTCTTCACGTGGCGCGGCAGATTCGGTTGATGTCGAATGTGAATGGTGGCCGTTGCCTCGAACTGGGTCATACGCGCCTCCTGGTGACCTTAGGTCGCTCGGTGCTGGCGGTGCTGGCACTGGATGGGCATGTGATGGCACAGACGGTGATGACTGGCTTGGATGGCGGCTCATGTTGGCCCTGGGTTCTGTGGCGTGGCCATTGATATATGGCTGCGAGGGAGGTGGAACAGGTTCGTAGATAGGCCGGGGCTGTTTGTACTCGTTAGGACTGTTATTCACATGCGCCTCTCCTTCACTCAGGTCTCGTACCTGCACCGGCGACCTCGCTTGATATGGCGTGGTGGTGAGGCGGGCTTCTCGTGTGCTGTCCTTGGTAGGATCGTAGTAGCTCGAGGTCGGTCGCTCAGGTGGAGGGAGTCGATTTGCTGAAGGCGATGCTGGCGTATATGCCAGCTGCTGATACGGCTGTGGCGGCGACGGAGCGCTCTCCATCTTGGCCGTCTTGCTCGATCCGAATTACGGGTGGTGTTCTGCTTTCACCGCGCCATCTATTGCTGATGCCGGCACGATGTCCGCGCGATGATATATGGCCGTCTGTTGATGGCAGTGGTCGCGGTCGATGATGGTTCGTTGACTGCTGCTGCGCCGCGAATCAGACTGGCTCTCAGCAACGAGTGTTCTAAGGGGTGCGTGGTCTAGCGGATGGCGCGCACGCGGCGGCGCACTCGTTCGCAGACGGCTTGGCGGAGGTGTTCAGAGCGAGATTATTTCACGATGCGGCGACGGTGAGGCGGAAGGGTGGAGGAGGTGTTGGATGGGCAGCGTGCTTGAGACAATGGAAGCTAGTCATAGGAAGCGAGATGGGATGGCTTGGGGCTCTGGGTGAGTTGGGCTTGTGCCTTGCCTGGCCGGCTGGAGCATCGCGATCACTGGTCGCAATCCCGAATGGAACTTTGCTTGCTACGAGGTACTACTTCCACCCACCTCCGAACACGACCAGGCGTCGGCGTCACGGCACGCGTAGCGACGCGGTATGGCACACAATATAAATGACAGCGCGGGTGTGGTGGAATTGTGTGCATGGATTCTGTTTGAGCGAAATCGACATTGTGAGCTGCGTCTCTGTGAGCGCGGCACATGGATGGCGATGGAGATAGCGGCGTGGAGAGATGGCTTAGAATATTCGTGTGCCTCCGTCCACGTCCACTTCGTCTGGAGAAGAGCAGTGAGAACGGGAGCTGCCGCAGCTAATCATGCCCTTCCACTCTTTCCCCATGGGCGTGGACCGAGACTAAGGTACATATGTATACCGCTGTTTGTGAGCGTGCGATCTTGCCATCAGCATTGTGCTGCGTCGTGAAAGCTGTATTGACCTTTCATCGCATCCTCCGTACCTTATTTGGTCGAGAGTTGTTGCCGCCGTTATTAATCTTGCCCACGATCCTTGCACGCTCATTCCAGACTAGCGTATCTTGCATTAGCTCAGCTCCAGATTCCAGAAATTCTGTCGCAGGCCCGGCAGAAGAGAAGGGCAGCATTTCGCGATTCTTAACACCTTATTGCACTACCGTGTCGTCGCATTGCAAACATGGCAACGGTATACCGCGCAGTAAGCAAATCAAAACCCTCGTCGGACGCAAGGGCCGAAAATGGCGAGGCCAAGCCGAAGAACAAGCAAAGAGTCTTGATCCTCACATCCAGAGGCGTAACATACAGGTAAAATCCAGCGTAGCAGCACCATCTTCCAACGCCCTACTGACTTCGCGCGCAAAGACACCGCCATCTTCTTGGCGACATCAACTCCCTCCTCCCTCACTCCCGCAAGGACGCCAAGCTCGACACGAAAACCCAACTGCACCAACTCAACGAACTCGCCGACCTCTACAACTGCAACAATGTCATGTTCTTCGAAGCAAGAAAAGCCAAGGACCTCTACATCTGGCTGTCAAAACCTCCCAACGGACCTACTGTGAAGATGCACTGCCAGAATATCCACACCATGGAGGAACTCAACTTTACCGGAAATTGCTTGAAGGGCAGCAGACCGATTTTGTCTTTTGACGCAGCGTTCGAAAAGCAAGCGCATACGAGGCTCATCAAGGAGCTCTTGACGCATACTTTCGGTGTGCCCAAGAGTTCGAGAAAGATTAAGCCGTTTACGGACCACGTGATGGGTTTTACGATTGCGGATGGAAAGATTTGGATTCGGTGTTATCAGATCAGTGAGACGGAGCAGGCGAAGGGAAAGACCGCGGAGGACAAGACGGAAGATGCTTCTGCCCCATCGAAAGTCGTGTCGAAGGCTGGCAAAGGCGAGACACATCTCTCGTTGGTCGAGATTGGACCACGATTCGTACTTACGCCCATCGTGATTCTCGAGGGAAGCTTTGGTGGCCCGGTCATCTACGAGAATAAGGAATTTGTGTCGCCAAACCAGATCAGATCTGACCTGAGGAGAGCGAAGGCGGGCAGGTATAATAAGAGGGCGGAGGGAGAACTGGAGAGGAAAGTTAAGAGGCGGGATCTGGGTCTGAGAACTGGCGAGGGTAAGAGGGAGATCGATGAGCTTGACAATCGGGTGGTTTTCGCATGACCTGAGAAAGTGGCTTATTTTGGTTCATTGAATTAGCGAGGCATTGGTAGAATGGACAAAAAGGCTCCAGTATCTGATCGATGCTGCGATATCACCGATGACGAATTCAAGAAAAAAAAAATTCCCTACGTTTGTGTGTCCTTAAGCAACCCATCTATCTCGCCCAAGCCTTGCTGCGGACGTGAACGATCCCATCCGAGACTTCACCTTCGCCGCGGCACTCCAAATACGAAACAAATCTTGCCTCCACTCGGCAATCCTTCATGGCACGATGGCGCCGTCGTAAGTGATAGAAGTCAAGCATACGACGGGTTGCTGCAAGCCCTTGCTATATGGTGCTGACCTGCATCGGATAGAAGAACAGTTGTGCCTATCTGGGTAGCACCTTACGAGATCACATCAGTCCACCATCATGATGACTTATCTGAGATGTGCCGTAGGGAAATAGAAGTGAAGATTTATCTTTGGGCATCTCCTCGTGATTTTGGATGCATTTCATGGCTGTAGAAAACAGGCGCTGGTATCGTTTTGTCAAACCTGGTAATCTCCCCTTGACGCCTTTGCCCTATGGTCACAAGATAGCCGGCGAGCGTGCGCTACGACACCGCCCTGCTCTTCCCATCACCCTCAAAGCCGCCATCGCCGTAATGCGATCTCCACAATGCAAGTCATTCCCATCGAAGCAGTGAAGCAGACAGGAGTCCGGTAGTCGTGTCTATATCGAGGATGGGTAAAGCATGATGCGGACCATGGCGCCAAAGGACTTGGATGGCAGGTTGTGGCGGAACTGTGCTCTCACAACGCCAGAGTTGCCTATTACAATCCCACGTTAGTATGTTTATTTCCCGCCAAGCCGCGCATTCAACTCAAGCCATACCGTGTGTTCGAGTAACCTTGCCCCAGATGACGCGAATCTTGGTGCCGCGGACCTCCTTCTTTGCGCGGTAGACATATGCGACACGCTTTCCGAGGTAGAAAGAAGCGGCCTTGGAGTCGTCGACGCCCTCAATCAGGATGAGAGAGGTGTTTGGGTCGGTGTTGCGCTTGCCACGCTTGTATGAGATGTGCTTGCCCTGCAACAGGACCAGTCAGTACAGACTGCTTTACAGCACCAAGTGTATGTGGATGTTTGTATGTATGTATGCATATCTTGCCCTCATTCTGGCTCAATCGGCAATTCGACTGGCGGCGGAGGCATGGAGCGGTGCGGCGGAATCAGGGAGGGCTTGCCTTCACATAAAGGCGGTGGCCTTTCTGGTTGTTGTCGGTAGGGGCCATCGCGATTGTCGTGTGTTTCGAAGTCGGCGCTGGGTGTTGGAGTGACGATGAGCGACTTGCGCAGCAGTCAGTCCAGTGTGCGGTAGTAGCAAATCTCCAGATTCGCTGTGGGCTTGGCGAGGCACTAAAAGCGGGAGAGGCCGTGATGCCTGGCTGCCTCGCGACTTTCTTGTCGGCTTTTGGTCTTTCACGCTGCACGCAAACGGAGCTCACATCGCAAAGCTCGTACAAAGGTCGATTGATTTGGGGCCTGGGTATGTTTATTCTACGGTGCAAAAGGGTCGGGATTGCGGAAGCGGGTCCACCACCTACCTCTCAGAATTTAGTATAGTACTTAGATAGCAATTATTATGCTATTTTCTTAGCAAACTATAGTCTCTAAAGCTTTAGATAGTTTAGAAGGGTATACCTCGTCGCCGCCTCTACGTACTGCGAATTTAGTATATCTAAACGACGCGTTTAGCCTCGCCGCCCTTGCCTAAGCTACTTTTACGTAATTATCGCTAATTAAGCTACTACCTACTATCTAATATATCCCGGAGGAAGAAGAAGAAAGCCTTATCGACGACTCGCAATATATCGAGGATATATAGGCGCGTAATCCGGTAGCGGCGGTATTACGAAGAGACGAAGAATAGTCGGCCGAGGAGCTATATACTATCGATCTGCTAGGTACTAAGTTATTCCGTACGCCGAGTGTCGAGGAAGAAGGTAGTAAAGAAGAAGAAGAAGAAGAGATAGAAATACGGTAGTAGAAGGCGGTCGATAGAATACTATCGACTATATAGGAAGTAATAGTAACTCTACCGCCTAGTATATAGAGCGCGTAGGTAGGTATAGAAGAGACGAGTCTTTCTTAGAAGGGCCAAAAACTACGCAAAACTAGCGCTAAGACAAAGACTAATCTCTACTCGAAGGCACTAGATACTTAGCAGAAGGGCGCAAAGAAGGTAGAGAGGTCGAAGAAGATAGAGGGGTCGAAGAAAATAGAGAGGTCGAAGAAGGGCTCGAAATCTTAGGCTTCGTAGAAGCGCAAGCGATAGGCGGCTACTAAACTACTACGCAACACCTCTAATACATATACCGACACGCAGAATGATACTCTTAATGTATCTAATAGACCTCTAAGTAACTAGGATAAAATTAGTATAGTAGTTATTAAGAAACGCGTACGCAAATCTATACCTACTAGTAAGCCGTCTAATAACTAGCCCGCTACCTCTACTTAAGCTTTAAGCCTCTACTACAAGGTTGTCTATAAGACACTGTTTAAATAGTACAAGCAATAACCGGTTAAGCTTAATAGTTAATCGGCTATCTATAGAGGCAAGATAGAGACAATATCTATACTATTTCGAGAAGCTAAGGTTAGGGTATAGGAATTTGCTAAAGAACGTAGTCTATAGGCTTACTTCTACAAGCGAGAGGCTATTATTAAGGCTACTAAACACGGTGCTGCTAAGGAGACAGATACTGTATTGTTTGCTAAGCTAAATAACTAGACTATTAATATAGACGAGCTTATTGTCTATAACGTAGAGGCTAAGCGACAAGTTACTATTACAGTTAAAGAATGCTAGTCTAACAAGCTACGAGAGTCGGTTACTGCTATTAATAGTAATACTAACCTTATAGAATCCGACTAAGATAAGCTACCTGCTATATAGAAAGAGAAGGGCATCAAATCTACTCGCAATACTAACGAGAAGACTATTAATAGTATTATCGAGTCGCGAGAGATATATAAGACCTTATTAGCTAAATTCCACTGTCTAGATAGACAGTATACTAACACTAAGAAGGGTAGCAACGTCGGCTGCTATATATAGCACGATAGTACCTATTACTAGATACTAGGTAGACACCTAGAAGAATAGCGCAACGCTATAGAAGCCGGTACTGCAATAGTAGATAATATGCTAGGTTAGCTTGTTTAGAAGGTTGTAAAGAACTATAATAATATGCACCGTAGCAAGAAGAAGAAGCCGTCGTTGCTATAAGAGACACTAACACTAGCAGCTCCGGTGCTATAGTATAGCTCTATGTCTCTATTTAATCCGTTCGCTATACCTCCGCTATATACGATGCCCTAGTTAATACCGCTATAGGCTTAGCTAAATCCGCCTGTCTAGCTAAATCTACGCTCTTTACCGATTGTCGATAGCAGGGCGGCTATTCTTAATAGGGCGAAGTATATTACTAGGTACTACGACTAGCTCTCGAAGAGGCATATCTATATACGAGAGGCGCTCGTAGCAGTAAAGGCTAAGCTAAAAGCAGGCTTCTAGACTCTTTATATGCTTAAGAAGGAACCTAACGAGGTCCTAGCAAATAACGTACTACAAATTAGCATCCGGCGGAAGCTAAAGGACGAGATAAAGGTGTATATAAGTACTATAGAAGGTAGTCTAGCTTGTAAGAGCGAGAAGGAGAATAATATAGCTAATGCTACGACTAAGGATAAGGTAACTAATAACGAGTTATAATAGCTAAGCTAACCTCAACACTTTAGCTTAGTCTATATTTAACTATAACCGTCAAAAAAATTCCGGCTATATGTAAGAAGCATAATTAAATAGTATAGATCCATATAGGACATATAAATTAATTGGTATCTATTAAAAGTAGTGTATTCTAGGCCTCTATCGATGTTAGTAATGCTATAGACTAATGCCGGAAGTCGCTCGGACTCGCTTCGCGGTGTCGGTAAAACTCTCGGCTATACCTGCGGCAAAACTTCTTTAGCTTTATATACTAATAATACTACGAAGAACTATTCTCTCTATATAATTATATGCAGCATGTTTTGAATTAGCCTCGTCGGTAGATTATAAAAAAAAAAGCGAGTTAATAGCTGTTATAGTTGTTTCGTAATTCAATCTAGTGCTAAAAGCCGGCTTATAGACTGCATATCGGACCTCTAGCTATAGCTCGAAGCTCGAGCGACTTTACGAATTCGAGCAAATTCTATAGTTAGATTTATAATATAACAACTATATATCCGATTAACGTTATTATTTTTTTAAAATGCACCAAACAGGCTAGTTTGTATAATAGGAAAAAAATTAATATAATAGTATTAGTATAGGCGTATGTAATAATTAGCATTACTAAATCCGAAGGAACGCTAAACTAAGCTCGGAACTTGCCGACTTTCCGCATCGGTATAGGGATATAGCCTAGCAGTATATACTGCATTTTAGTAGTGTCGACGGCGAGGAGGTACTAGCTATACAATAGTCGTATCGATAAGATTTTTATATCGTTATATAGCGCCGAGTTTAAGCTTTTAAATAATACTAAAAGTATATATATCGGTACATTATATAGCTTATATTGTATAGTATAGTGTTTCTACTATATAACAACCCTTAAAGATTGCTATGTAATTAACCCCTCGACACTAATTGCGATACGCTATCCGTAGAAACGCTTTAAACTTCTCTTGCTAACTATTATCGCTATACTTTAGCATTAACCTAGCGTGTTTACGTATCTAGTGTTTTAATAGGTAGAAAGACTTCTCGATTAGTATATAGTTAGGCGAATACGGCGGTAGAAACAATACTCGTACGCCTACTTCCTAGTATATATCGACGACGTACTAGCGGCTATAGGTTAAGCAGTTATCTATTAATAACACCGAGCGCGGGTTTAGATATCGCTATATCTTTAGTAGTATATATAACTAGAGCTATTCTAGGAAGTCCGCTATCTTTATACTACTAGGTTTAATTAACGGGTCCTCGAGATATCCTTTAGAAGTATACGCCGGTAGTAGTAAGAACCGCTTACTATAGTATAGGTACTAGATATCGTACGCCGGTATACCTAGAGGCGCCCAACCTCTCTTCCGATATACTACCCTATCGCTAATATAGCTCTTATCTATATATACTATTATATCGATACTAAAGGACTATACCTATGCCTCGAACATAGCTCTCGCGACCGGGTCGCGTTGCGTAGCCGTTCTAGAGGTTAGTTTAAACGTAAAGTGCTTATCTACTAATAACCGCGCAATCGTCTAAGTACTAATCTATTCCGAGTACTTATCTAGTAGATAGTACTATATCTCGTTACACTATAACAACGGTGTCTCTAGCATTATTTCTACTATGAGATCCCTTATTTCCGGCGTAATAATACGAGGCCTTCCGCCCTTTATTAGTACTACCGATCCGGTCTCCCTCTATCTTTTTATTTGTATATAAACCGCCGTCCGAGACCCCTAATTATTATGCTATAACAGCTTCGTAACCTTATCGAATAACTAGCTATCGTCGAGGTAGTATTAGATTAGGTTATTATCTTAAATAGTAAGGGTAGGTATTAGGCGGTCGATAGGCGGGCGGGCGGTCGATAGGCAGGCGCGGCGACAATAACACCTCGGAATAGCCTATACTACTAAAAAGGCGACAATATACACTTAAAATGGTGATATTTGGTATAGAAAGAGCAGTGGGAATAGCAGAGGAATGGCTTTACGATTACTATGGAGATCACTGCGGAATGGTAGTGGACCCTCCTCCGCAATCCCGACCCTTTTGCTCTGGAGAATATGATACAAGAGCTGCTTGCGCTTCTGCACTGAGAACCTCACGCATACCATCATTTCTCGTTGCATGATCTCACCTTTCTTGGGGAGCTGTATCCCCTGCTGCACTCATTTGCATTACAGCACGGTATGCCGATCAAGAGTGAAGTCTTGTCAAGGCCTACAGGACGCAGGATTTCCATTCAGAACTCCGAGAGATGAAAGCTTGCTGGGCGACCCGTGGTTTAAGCCCGGGCTATGTTACCCGAAGTCAGCAGCGTCCTCTGTGGCAACCGTACCTGACCTGGACTCTGCAGCCAGTACTACGAAAACGGACACCGACACTGATATCAGACACACCACAGTCATGGTCGACGTTTCCTTTTCTGCTCGTGAGAGCTGGAAAGATTTGGTAAAAGTGCTTCCTGGTTAGGACATCCGCCCATCGTATTATAGCCGTATCCTCGCGCAGGTGGTCGGCGGAGGCTCGGAAAAGACAAGGGGAAGCCGAAGCCGCAGTGTTTCCTGCCCTGCCCTGCTCTGTAATCAAGGTCTCTAATCGATGGTTCGGTCACGATGCTATGCTCGCCGTGCTCGTGATCGCCATGCGGACGGTCCTATCGAACGCTTAACAGACAGTAGGCATGAGCGAAATCTCCTCGCATATGGTCGCGAGTTTTTTCATGCTGAGAAAAGGTCAAAGTTAAATAGTCAGTTCAATGCCGATAGAATAACAACCCTGAATGACGACAACCCCGCCATGTGGTGCCAGCCAGGCAAGTGAGGCGATTTTTCAGAGAAGCTCTGTCAAATGCTACCGACTGTGAGCAAAGTCTTGAGAAATCACTAAGCGCTCAGTCAGCGAACATCGGTGAGAGACAAGATAGCGAGTGAAGGCGGGTATATACAGCAGAATTGGCAGCGTCGCTATCTCTTCGGCGCCTGTGAAGTGAATAACATCATTCGACTGTGTAATAAGTGACGTTGAGCCGCTCGAATAACTCCACTGCTTCCGCCCTCACAAAGCCCGAAACGCATCAGCTCAACAGAACTGCGCACCTTCCACCTTTGTCGCCGCATTCGTCAACTTCTTTCCTACACCGGCGGCAGACATCGCAACAACACGCCGCATTAATTGACACTCGAGCCGACACCATGGCGGACACACTCATCCACCCAGACCAGGACCAGAACTCTCCGAGGTAAGTGTTTATCGAGTCGGTGAAACTTTCTGTACATGTTCCAGCACAGGACGATACTATGGTTTCTGTCACTACCTGCGAGCGACGCGATGAACACACACCTAAAACTGCCGGATGCACCGCCTGCCCCCTTCGAACGTTCCGTAATTGCCAATGCACTGCGGAGATCGGGCGCTGACAGACGGATGATTGCAGCAGCAAGGAGCTCAAGGACAACACCGTCATCATCGTACTCGGCGCGTCTGGCGACCTCGCCAAGAAGAAGACCTTTCCAGCGCTGTTCGGTCTGTTCAGAAATGGCTTCCTCCCAAGAGACGTCAAGATCGTGGGCTACGCCCGAACGAAGATGGACCACACCGAGTACCTGAAGCGCGTAAAGTCTCACATCAAGACTCCCACAAAGGAAATGGAGCAGCAACTCGACCAGTTCTGCAAGTTCACAACCTATGTTAGCGGTCAATACGACAAGGACGAGAGCTTCCAGGAGCTCGAGAAGCACCTGCAAGAGCTCGAGAAGGGTCAGAAGGAGAATAACCGCATTTTCTACATGGCGCTCCCACCATCAGTGTTCATTCCTGTCTCTGAGCACCTGAAGCGCAACAACTACCCAAAGAACGGTATCTCTCGTATCATCATCGAGAAGCCATTCGGCAAAGACTTGCAGTCCTCGCGTGAGCTTGACCAGGCTCTGCGACCAAACTGGAAGGAGGAGGAGATCTTCCGTATCGATCACTACTTGGGTAAGGAGATGGTCAAGAACATCCTCATTCTGCGATTCGGAAACGAATTCTTCGGCGCAACCTGGAACCGCAACCACATCGATAACGTTCAGATCACATTCAAGGAGCCATTCGGCACTGAGGGACGTGGAGGCTATTTCGACGAGTTCGGCATTGTCCGTGATGTGATGCAGAACCATCTCCTCCAGATTCTCACGCTCCTCGCAATGGAGCGTCCGATCTCTTTCTCCGCCGAGGACATTCGCAACGAAAAGGTCCGTGTGCTGCGTGGTATGCCGGCCATCCAGCCAAAGGATGTCATCATTGGACAGTATGAGAAGTCGCTTGACGGCTCAAAGCCAGGCTACAAGGAGGACGACACAGTACCCAAGGAGTCGCGTTGCCCAACTTTCGCCTCAATGGTCGCATACATCAAGAACGAGCGGTGGGATGGCGTGCCTTTCATCCTCAAGGCAGGCAAGGCTCTCAACGAGCAGAAGACTGAAGTTCGTATTCAGTTCAAGGACGTCACCTCTGGTATCTTCAAGGATATCCCGCGTAACGAGCTGGTCATCCGAGTTCAGCCAAACGAGTCGATCTACATCAAGATGAACAGCAAGCTTCCGGGCTTGAGCATGCAGACCGTGGTCACCGAGCTTGACCTCACCTACCGAAGACGCTTCTCTGACCTTAAGATTCCAGAGGCTTACGAGAGCTTGATCCTTGACTCGCTGAAGGGCGACCACTCCAACTTCGTCCGTGACGATGAGTTGGACGCTTCATGGCGCATCTTCACCCCACTCTTGCACTACCTGGACGACAATAAGGAGATTATCCCCATGGGCTACCCATACGGTGAGTCGGGTACGCACACAATTTCATGCAACATCAGCTAATGTTTTCTGCAGGTTCCCGCGGCCCAGCCGTTCTCGACGACTTCACCTCTTCGTACGGCTACAAGTTCGCCGACGCTGCCGGCTACCAGTGGCCACAGCACCAGATCGAGCCAAACAAGCTCTAAGCTGTCCATCCAGCGACCATCATAAGCAAGAGCTTGCAGGCCAGTGTCTCTGATGTCTTACCAGGCGCTTGGGATAGATTTGAGATGAGAAATGCAAAGAGCGAGCGTTTGTCTAGAGCGATTGAGGGGAAATTGGGAAGCGAAACCCGAGAATACCTACATACGAGCACCTACACCACCGGTTTCCATGTCATGCTGCTACGACGAAATGCAAAAAGTGCGAAGCGTTTTAGGGAGGTAGAGACGGGTGACTGTACCTGAGCGCAGGCGTGACGACATTTGCATATAGAGACAGTTGCTTCCTGAGAATGAGAAATGGCTGTAATCATGAACGTGAAGTTTTCAATCCTCATCGTTCGATTTCAAAACTCGGCCTTCTGCCATGGACGCAGCGGCGATCTTTGTGATATACTTACGGCCCTTGGGTGCAGCATGACAACACGCCTGGACCATTTTCATGAAGGCACACATGATACGGTAAACAGACAGCTTGTGGCGAACTCTCTCGAGGATGTCGTCAAATAATTCTCTTTCGATTAGCACTTGCTCGACACTCGACACTCGAGTCTCGAGACATGGCGCCTATGTTGGCATCGTTTGACAAAATGGACCCAAACGGTTCAGGTTGTCTAGCCATAATCCAAAAGTTCGACAAGCTGCTTCCATTCCCTCAGCCAAAAATATCATCAATGGCATTCCCTCCCTTCCTCCGTTTCTTCTTCGACTTAGCAGTACTCGATTCCGCAGTCCGTTTCCTGCCCGCTTTCATCTTCGTAGGCATCTCATGCACTACAGCCTCCTGCATTTCAACCTCTCCCATACCCTTCGCATCCTCATCCTCCCTCCTATCAACCACACCTTCATCCTCCCTCCCCAACGGCGTCCCCTCATCCCACTCCATCTCCGCCTTCGCAAACTCCCTCAAAACCTTTCCAGTCTCCTCATCCCCCAACTCTTCCAACATCCCCGTCATCCCAACCAACTTCCCCACCTCCGCCAAACACGAATACAAGAAAACTCCCAAAACACTAAACCTTCCATCCGCCACAACCTGACTAAACGCAAACTGCCACTTCGAAACCATAACCTCGCGCCAAAATTCCAAACGCTTTTGGATTTGGAGGATGAGTTTTGGGTCTTGGATTTTTCGCTTTTGGACTGCGGAGGTGTGGGTTGATGGGACGCTGTTCAGGGTTTTGAGATCTGAGAGCAGAGATTGCAGTTGGCGACGGAAGGTGTTCATGTGTTTGTACCAGTGGGAGCGTCGGTGTTGGTTTTTGTTGCGATGGTGGAAGAGGTGGAGTAGGTCTGAGAGGTGTTGGAGACTTGAGAGATTTTCTGAGGTGATTTGGAAGTGTAGATCTGATAGGGCTATGGGGGCCATGGTGTTGGGTTTGTGGCTTTGCTGTCTGCTACGTATGGCATTTATGATTTTCGTCAGGCCTGTACTTTCTATGTCTTGGGGAAGGAATGGTTTGAGAGGGAGAAGTTGTGTTGTCCAATGAGGTGGCGGGTATTTTGGCGGGCAGGAAGCGATGTCTCGAGGGGCATGTGACAGCTCGTCGTCATTCCGATCTTCCTATCTACAACTCAACCACTCTTTCTCTGGGCGGGATCTTGCTTAGACCGCTGTTTATCTTAGATACGATGTTGTAACAATCTTCAACAGCCTTAAGGGCGTCTTCTCCTACCCTTCCTTTGTACCGCCCTTTTCAAACATACCATCGCCGCTCCAAAATAATGGATCAACGCAGGATACCGGAATACAACCTCGAGATCTCAGCAGACCGCTCTAGCGTGAAGGATGTGGTAAAAGGTGTCCTCCACACAATTTTCTTCCACCGCTTCTTCACGCCTCTATACCCAGCAACCCATGAAATCCTCGACATCACACTCCCCTACGTTAGCGAAGACGACATCGAAACCCTCGTAGAGACCAAAGCCAACTCTCTCCTCCGTGCCCTCGATGCCAGCAGCTCAAGCACCTCCCCACAATACAAGAATCCCAACGGCTCTCAACGTGCTTCAATCACTGTCCAATTCCTAGAGAAGAAACGTCGAAAAGGCTGGTTCACTACGAAACCAGATGAGGATATTCCTTGGGAGACTTGGACGATCGATGTCACGGTCTTAGGCGCAAGGAGCGAAATTGAGGCGAGCAGGAATCGTAGGGTTATGGTGAGGAGTTTGGAAAGAGCTGTGTTTAAGGTTGTCGAGGTTGTGAATCGTGAGAAAGGACATATACCGCCGATTACGACGAATGAGACGAATCCATTCCCTTATCAGATTCATGTGAATAAGAGCGGGGAGAGCGGATGGAGTGGGAAGATGGGGATATTTTGATGGAGTCGAGTGATGACATGACCTGTGAACAGTTGGCCAACATTCGCACCTTGGTGATAGATATGCGGATATGAAGATGACTCCAAAGGAGTTCTGTCGGTCCAGGTAAAGCTTTCGCTGTATCCCACAACCATTGCTAGTGTGCAAGTGCCTGGCGCAATGCCTTGCTACACCGCGACAGCAGCGCTCCTTCAAGACGAAATGGATCGTTAACCGCGGAACTCATGCAGCCACTGATGCAGGCCCTTTGGCGATATGTTCTCGCGATTCACAGCCAATCCACTCAGATGTACGCCATTGAGAAAATTCTGAAACATACCCTCCTCGCCTGAAGGCAGTCTTGTCCGAGTGAGCAGCGGACAGCGAAGAGCCATGCAGACAGCAATCTGGGCTGCCTCACAGAGATACTCGACCGCATATGAACCAGAGCAATTTGCTCAAGAGACTTCAGCTCAGATCGTAAGGATGATGGTCAGCCAATAGCCCTGGAAGGAGATCGTATTGGATTCGTTTGTCACGATCAGAAGAGCTAGATGCACTCCTTCCACAAAGCTGATGACGCAGATATGGGTACGCAGAATCCTCACGTCAAAAAACCAAAAGCTCTCGGACTTTGAAGACTCTTTCATACGAAGAACCTGGAGGCTGCTGCGGGAAGCGTAACGAAGACGGTTCAGCTGAGATTTTATAAGTATCGGATTGACACAATCGACGAATGGTCATTGATATCTGTCCATGCTAGAGTGCCCGTCTTCACCGAGTCATTTCATTTCATTTCGAGACAGGGTCACGTGTATTCTAATCGCCAAGATCTCGTACCTCCCTCCCTTTGCTCGCTTGAGAAGGTCTCCTGTCAATACCATCGACCACATTGCTTTCCATCGCCATTTGACTCTATATGACTATTCGGCCTTCTTGCTCCCGTCATTCGTCATTAAAGTGCGCCATGTGGCAGTGCAGCTACCTCCTAGTTGCACCGAGCTGTTCTGACCGAGACGCCAGCTGAAATGCTTCCAAGCTTGTTTTCATTCTACCCTGCCAGCCCTCTATGTCTCGATGGACAACGAGTATGTCTACAACTGGCTCTCTGACGAAGATGGCAAATCGATTAGACTGTTGACCATTCTTCCTGGTGCCACGGTGGATCCTGTCTATGTGAAACTCGAAGAATTTCACCTCCATGAGGACTGGGAATTTGTCGTCGACTACGTCGCACTCTCATACACCTGGGACTCGCCTGGAGCAGAGAAACGCATCCATATCGGCAAACATGGCGAAGAGGGGTTTATGCTAGTACGACCTAATGTAGACTCAGCACTGAGGAAACTCAGAGACTCTGCTGACGATGAACACCATGTTGTGTGGATCGATGCTATCTGCATCGACCAAAATGATGACGATGAAAAGATGAAGCAAGTAGCCATGATGGGCGAAATCTACTCGAAAGCCCTTGGGACTGTAATCTGGCTTGGCGATGCAGATGACCGGACTGCTTTAGGCCTGCGAGGTTGCGATGTGCTCGCGAAGGCGTATTGGAAGATGAGGTATGGTGATGAGACGGACGAAGACGCAGCCAGATCTGGGAGCGATAACTGGGAGACTGAGTCGGCAGACAGCATGGATGTAATTGGCATGAAAGCGACCAAGACTGTGAAAGCTATTCTTGGCGACCGTAAGGAATGCCGTCCCGCTAATCAAGCCAAGAGCAAGAAAAGAAAGAGGGAAGATGATGCTGAGAGAGAAAGAAGCAGGATCAAGAAGGCTGATCTTTCAGGTCTTCTCTATGCTTTCGAGGAAGAGGCTGCACTGCCGAAAGAGCGACTGCTGAGACTTGACAACGAGCATGTAAAATCTTCTTTGCGCGAGCGAATTGCATCTGACCGACAGCTCTTTCTGCTTCGGAAGGCGTGGCAAGAGCAGATACACAATCCTGCTCATCTGGCTATGGACTCTATGATTCAGCATCTCAAGATCCTGCTTGAACGGCCTCATGATGAGCTAGAGAACATGGAAGAGTTCGCAAACATGGAATTCGGCATGCCATTTGGACCAGCTCTCTGCATTGATGCGGCGAAAAATCTCGAATGCGATCGTTTGAAACATGAGGATTTGTCCATTGGACATGTTCAGTACACTTCTGTCCTCCGATGGTCTTTACTGTTTGTTCTCAGTGGTGACCTTGGCCTCAGCGATAACTACCACCGCATGGATTATTTAGATCTAGCAGCTTCTGATGCTGCCATCCGATCCCTGTGGTATCGAATAGAGAGCCGATCGTACGAAGCTGAACCTGACGTCGCTACCTGGCAGGTGGACAACATCCTAGGGGTAGGCTTTGCCGAAACTTTGGGCTCACTGGATCCACAAGGTAGCATCACAAATGTCATCGACGCAATTGCCTCCATTCTTGCACGACCTTGGTTCGATAGGATGTGGACTCAGCAAGAGCTTGTACTAGCTCGAAGTACAGATGTCATGATTGGAGAGCACAATGTGGATTGGAACACTTTGGTCGATGCTGATTTATTCTGCTACACAAACGATCTCGACTATGGACCGAGCATGGGACGATGCGTGATACTTGACTCACGAAGAACAAACCGTAAGAAGAATGAATTGTCTGAGCTTCTCGCCATTGGCTCATTGGCCGGATCCGCTAGGAACGCGAAGTCGAGCGACCCAAGAGACAAAATCTATGGCTGGCTAGGACTACTGAACGATGAGCAGCAGATGTTCAAGATTGATCCAGATTATCGGTTGAGCACTAGAGAAGTCTACGAGACCTTTACGTTCAATGCGATTAGAGAATCCAGAAACATGATCATACCTGCTCTAAGGCTACCCGGAGACTCTTCAGAGCTGCCGTCGTGGGTACCCGATTTCACTATGAGCAGGGGTCGTACGTGGAAAATCTTGGGCACCTGCAAAGACACTACTCGCACTTCAGCGCTTCAGCTGAGTCACAGACTCATGTTCACTATTCTTCGTCGAAGGCGCTCTTGCTGCGAGGCATAGTCATAGACTCCGTTAACACCACAAGTGTAACATGGACCTCTCGACATCGTCCAGGCGAGCGTAGACAGCACAAACCTTGGACGTTAGGTCTTGTGATCACTACGTGGGCCAAATTCGCAAAGGCGTTTGTCCAAAATCCACATCCCTCGACAAATGAAGCACTAGCCGATGCCTTCTGGAAGACATTAGTCCAGGGTCGCAAAATGGAGGGCGGCGCTTTCACCCCGGCTGATCGACTCGCCGCTCTGTCTACCATCGTCGACTTCTTCAAAGCTGATTTATCCTTGCCTTCTGACGTGCAATCTAGCGAGCTTGGGGGCGATTGCACGGAAGATATCAATTGGCGTGGCCGACCAGAATTGCTCTGGATGTACTTGTCCGAGGAGCTGGAGACTCTTAGACTTTTCGTGAGTGCTGATGGCCGATTGGGGCTCGGACACTATGATGTAGAGCCGGGAGACCGGATTGTGCTCTTCGCTGGCGGGAATATGCCATTCCTTGTAAGATCTGTCGGTGGCAGTAACAAGATCGTTTCAGTCTGCTACCTTCATGGTGCTATGCATGGCGAGGTCTGGCCTGGCGAGGGTGGCCTTGAAGATTTGGAAATTTGCTGAAATACAAGTTTGGCTTTGGAACAGGCAGCCACTTATCCCTCACTTGACTCGATTCACAGCTCACATGCGCAGCTAATACTGTCTCAGACTAGCTCGATGCAGATACAGCTCCACCGTCTTCAACTTCACTGTACTTCAATACAGACTTACCAAGACGCGCACTCTGCTCTTTCATACCCTCAACCGCGCATTACGCTCGCCTGCGCCATGGCACCTTCGAATCTGCCAGCAGCTCATGTCGAGCAGTGAGTTTAGACAGTTCTAGCGAGATTCTCAACATTACTGACGGGCGTAGGCTGGACTTCTCCGAGACCGTCAATGTCGTGGTCGGCGATGGCGACTCGAAGCAGCATTTCCTTCTCCACAAGAACATCATCTGCCGTCACTCCAAATTCTTTCGCGCAGCATTTTCAGGCAATTTCGTCGAAGCCGAGGAAAAGGTCGTCAAGCTGCCAGAAGTTGATCCGACCATCTTCAAGATCTGGACTCAGTGGGCATACAGCGGTCATTTTGTTCTGCTGAGCGCCGGCGAACAGGAGGTCCAAGATCGCATTTTGGTTCAGTCTATTGATCGCTGTGGAGAGCTGTATCAGGTCGCCGACGTCCTGGGAGACACTTTGTGCCGCAACACTGTCACAGATTTCCTCAGATACAGGTTTTTCATCGAGATGGGCCCTACCGTTGAAATGCACAAGATCGCCTACGAGTCAACTCCAGCAGGAAGCAAGCTTCAGAAGCTGTGTGTGGACTCAATGCTGTCGAGTCGCCCAGGTACATGGCTCGCTGAACATCGCAACGACTTACCGGCCGCTTTTTTCGCGGACCTAGCCATTGAGTGGGAGCAGTGGAGTCTTTATCCTTCGAAATTCATCGAACCACGTGCTGCACAGAAATGCAAGTATCACGACCACGATGAAGATGTCCCATCATGCGCATAGGGGCGTAAGGAAGCCGCAGCGGGCGAGAAGCAGGCCTAGATACAAGTATGTTACCTGGTGGTGAGCGGGCAAAGATTTGCCAGAGAGGATAAAGAAGGCAGACTTGAGGTTGGGGGCGCAGCTAAGGTGCGGATGAGAAATGGGACACCCGTTCGACAGACTGATGGATACTCAAAGGAATCTTGCGACATATAGTGACTGATGAAGAGACTTCGCCCGTCACGATCTTTGCTGTCCATGGCCATACGACCGCCACGATGAAACAAATGGCCAAAAAGAGGCGAACGCAGAGAATTCCGCACTAGATCTTCAAAATGAACACGTCTACCTGTTATGATCATTGCCTACCATTTCAGCACAATCGGCGTCTTCCGCATTCCTATTTGGTGAATAAGTTGACAGCCTTGAAAGCAGCCTCCTTCACTTCAGACGTGTTGATCGCGTCCAACTGCTCGACAGTCGCCTCATCCAGCGGTCCCTTCTGCAACTTCGCCAACGAGTCCTCGATCTGATAGACCTTACTAGCACCAAGGATCAAAACATCGCCATCCTGCAACGCCGAATGATGTAAAAGCCACCGCAGACCAAGTTCATCCGGTGAGATGCCTGTGTCCTTCGCGATAGCATCCAACTTATCCCAAGCATCATACATGCACGGCTGATCAAAGACTGTCATCAAACGTCAGCAGTCATGACCTCTAGACCCGGGGACGTGAAAACTTACAACCAGTATACATATCCTTAGCCTGATGCTCAACGAACCTCTGTCCCGTCCTCACCCCATTCCTCTTCAAATTCCCATTCAAAAACCCTCCCGCAAGCGGCGAATACGCCGCAAAATGCATCCCTTCCCTCCTCACCAAAGGAAAAACATCCTCTTCATAACTCCTCACCACAAGATTATACTGCCCTTGATACCACATCGGCTTCACATACCCTTCCTTCTCCGAAACCTCCAACCACTCCTCAACCATCCCGGGCTTAAAATTACTCACTCCCACAGCATTCACCCCTCCCGCTTTAAACACCTCATCAAACCCCCTCACCTGCTCCTTAATCGGCGTCTCAGAATCCGGCGCGTGCGCATACAACACATTAATCTTCTCAATCTTCAACCTCTCGAGCGAATCTTTCGAACTTTTGATGATCTTGTCAGTCGTCAACGTCCCCTTCGCCGGGAAATTTGTCAAAATTTTCGTATCGATTTGGAAATTCTTGCTTCCACCAATCCCTGCTTCGCCGAGCCTTCGTTCGGAATCTCCGTTCATGTAACTTGCGGCGGAGTCCAGACGGTTGATGCCGTATTTTTGGAGGATTGGGAGGATTTCGGAGAGGTCGAGACCGCGGATGTCGCCGAAGATTATTGTTGGAGTCATTTTTGTTTTCTTCTTTGATTGAATTTTAGATTTTGGGGTTGGGGGTTGGGGAGTGGGGAGGGGAGGGGAGGGGAGGGGAGGTGAGGTTCAGGTGTTATATGTTTTGAGTGCTTGGCGAAGGATGTGAATCGCACTGATAAGCAGCTGGGATAGGCAGGTCCGAGCTCCGAGTGGTATGTCAACTTGTACCCAATTTGTAAGCTTAACCCTATGAACAGGGAACGAAGGAAGCAGTGGGATTCATCAGTTGATATATGAGTGTCGTCGATTTTGTGCATTCTCGTCAGAGTGGAAGAGAGGGGTTGTGCACTAGACCCAAGCATTTGTTGGGTATGATCGCTCTATAAACCAAGTTCGAGCCATTCAGTAACGCTGTCAACAGCGTGGTCTCTACCGCCTCGCAGATGTTCATTCGTTGCCTGCAAAATCACTCGTTTGTACGAGACAAGTGGAGGCAGACCTTTATTGCTCACTTCCAGAATCAGATGAAAGCATTGTCCGAGTTCTTGCGGCACGCCGCTCAGTAGGTCAATTGCACACTTTTCCGGTGGAGGCATCTGCACTTTGACCATTTTACCAACATTGGTCCAGTCGCAGGGCTCAACGTTGATGTTCGGAATTTGCGCCGTAACCAGACCTGAGGCACTCGAAACCTCCTTGTACACAAACCACTTGAAGTTCAGCGACTTCTCATGCGGATCGCGGCTTAGGGAGGCATCAAGGATGATCTGGCTACCAGCTGGAACTCTCATGTACAGTGGATCAGGCCCGGTACTGCCGTCAATGCTCGCTATCGGTGCGTGATTGGCTTTCGCGCGGTCGTTCGTAAGAGTCCACTGCATGCGAGCAGCGAAGTCATTCTGATAAGCATCTCGCCAACGCCATATCGTAGCTTGACTGCTCGTATGCCATTTACCATCCTTCCCGAGGACAGTGTCGGTGGCATCAGAATAGTGCTTCCCAGCCAGCGACAAATCAATAGCATTATAGCGACCGCCCCAACTGCCGAAGTGCGGATGTTCAGGGGAGCCAAGTCCATTCTGTAACAAGTACAAGAAGGTTGGTGTGTCACCTTCTACGATGAACTTGAAGTCGGGGTAGACCTTGCCAAAGGGCCCTATCTGGATGTGCTCTTTGAGCCACTCCTTTCTAACCTTTGTCGGATCGGGACCGCCTCCATCGACTTGAGCGGAAATGCCGGTCCACGCTGCATGACTATACTCGTTCCAGCCACTACAGCCGCCAAATTCACGGCGTCAGCGGTTGTAATAGCCAATTTTATCCGACAGCAGTTCATCACACTTACTGAACCGAACAGATGTAGAAAATATCTGGCCACATCAGTCTGATCCAGTAGCCGGTGTCATCCTGGTCCGAAATGGCATAAACACGAAGCCTGCTACGTATCGCAGCAGCATCCTCAGCATCGTTGGTACGATGGATATGCTGGAGCGCTTGAGCTAAGCAATTGGTCCCGCCCCAGCATAGCACCCAAAGCGGGCGATCATCGACAGCATCTGCAAGGCGTTCCACCAAGAGCTCCGTACCTCCGCTCAGTGGCACGCCGTCTTCCAACGCAGCTTTGCCATACATTACAGGCCCTGATCGGACAAGACTCGATAAGTGGTCGGCACTGGGATACTGGTTCTTGGGATGAACATGGCAGTTCAAGCTATCCACGACTTCGCCATAAGCTTGCAGAATCTGAAGGATAGCCACGGGATCGACCTTCTTCCGCATCCAGGTTGAGGTACACGCGACTAATCCTTCGGTTTCAAGTTCGTTATTGTAAAGCAGATATCTTACCAGCGATTCAGCATCGTCCGGCTCGTTCGAGATGTCGGTGAGCACGAAGACTCTCGGCTTCGTTGTACAGAAGCGGAGACTTTCTTGCTGCACCATAATGGTCGTTCCGGTGTGGAGTCCGCCTTTTTGAATAGTGTATTGATGTCAGGCAGACCGTGGGCTGAGTTATCGAGACAAGTGTTGAAGGCCGGGCATCTGTATACTTCTGAGAGGTGGATCTTACTGGCGGCAAAAGCCAAAAATTAACTATTTGCATTTCCAGCACCGTCAATTGGTGTCGAACGGAGCTTTGTCAAGGTTGTAGGACTGGGGCAAGGGTAATCAATTCAGATGCCGATGCAGCAGGGTGTCGGCTTCACCGCTGTGACCAATTTTGAGCGCTCGTGAACATCATCAACATGATCAGCGAGGATGACAAAGTGAGTGATCAATGGCAAACTGCAGTCGTCTGTACATCTTGTCAATACATACCTGTTGCTTTGGTCAGAACAATTTATACAAAGCCTTTGTTTCCTACTCCGCAGATGTGCCGCAGAGCGATCATCTCGTCATTCAATCCATACCATGCGAAATGTCATTCAATGCTCATTCGGCTTCTGTTCATCGCTCAGTGTCATGCTATTCTGTACGGTCATCGTTTGTGCTCTGTTTCCTTCTCGCCTGCTTATCAATGGTTTTCTGGCGCTTGAGCGAATTAGATGCAGAGCCAAGCATATCGTTAATCGTCGCGCTGAGACTCCGCATACGGCCGCCAGTCGGACTTCCGGCGGCCACTCTGAGGTTTTGAGCCTCTTCGCCATCGAAATCGAGATGACCACTTGCTATGGAGTGACGTTTAAGGCTGCTGGAGATCAGAGGCTGGTAAGGGTCATCATCATGACTGATGGATGGCCGACTCGTCTTTGCGGAGCGTCGGCGACCAATGCTACCCAGTGGCGAGCGCCTCAGCTCGTCCGCTACAATAGCAGCAAGCGAGCCGCTGAGAGGGCTGGTAAGAGGACCAGGTATCATGCCAAGCACAGAGTGACGCTGCTGCAACTTTTGCCGTGTAGATACATTCGGACCGAGATGCTGCGCTTTTTGTGTAGATGTCATCTTCGATGGGCTCTCCATCGGAGGTCCAGAAGGCGTCCTCGCAGGAGTCTTTGGCTTAAGGGATCCATCGTTTGGTTTCGGAGTCTGCGGTACTACTGGCGCAGATGTCGTAGCATGGATCGGTGGCGGCTTCACAGGATTGACCTGAGACTCATCCACTCCGTTAAGTCGAGCAGTCGACTCTGCATGAATAGCGCTAGCATTTGCAGGCGCCACATCTGCCTCTTGCAAGTGCTTCGTCAGGTCAAACGGCCCTGGCGGTGTTGCAGCCTCAACCGGTGCAAAAGTGGGCATCTTGCCAACAGAGCCCACGTTCGTACCCTCAGCAGTATGTATGCGACGGACCGTCGCTCTGCCGGATGAATCAGTCACCACGGAGGCTTGTCTCTCTGGGTCATCTCGCTCTCGGATCTCGGGGAATACACCCTCTTCGTCTGCAAGACTTATTTCGTCTGCTTCTTCATTACCACCAACATCGCCATCTTGGTTCAGCTTCCGGCCGCTCGTGATACACCACACGCCAAAGAAAGTCATCGCACAACCAGCGACAAATTTGATGGCGTCTTCTGTCTGCTCTCGCTCGAAGTCGCGGTAGAGAACAGCACTGCCAAGAATGACGGAGATGGTGAAAAGCACGAACTGCGTCGGGATCACCATGGTGGAGTTGAAACGCTGCAGGGCCCTATTGACATACTTGATCTGCATGACAGCAGTACCGATCAGAACGGCCAGCAGCAGATATGTGATTGGGAACGTCACCACCCTCCAGATAGAGTATGTCAGGAGCGATGCAACGCCCTTCGTAGATAGCGCTGTATAGCCACCAAACAAAGCCACCAGTCCAAGATCGATCAGAATTGTCTTTTCTCCAAATTTGTTGCTCAAGAACACCAGAGCAACAATCAAGAATAGTGTGATGCCCAGATATGTCTCGAATTCCCAGGTCGTCACAAGTCCCCAAATGGCTTCTGGTGTCAGCTTTGGATTGCTTGAGCTCGCACTGAGGACCACGACGACTGCACCTCCGCTGGCGATCAGCACTCCCAACCCATCTCGGAGTCGGAACTTTTCTCGAAGAAGCAGAGGTGCTATCAAACAATTCGAGACAAGCGCAACAACACCGAGAGGAGCGACGATCGATGCAGGAGCAAATCCGTAAGCCAGGAAGTTTCCAATCTCGCCAACAACCATCATCGCAATGCCGACCCACCATATAGGCGACTTCAAATATGACTTCTCTTTTGGATCTTCATCATCGTCTACCGCGGCTCCTGTCGTATCACCTGAAGATCCAGATTCATGTCTCGAATGCGCTCTCGATATCAGTGGCTCGGTCTCGGTGCTTTCCTCGCTGCGCTCGAGCGTATATCCATTCGACTCTGATTTCGCGTTCTGCCTGGCGCACTCGTCCGATATTTTTGACTGTTGCGAACGATTGCTATGGTTCGGCGACACTTTCCTCCTGCGTCTCCGTTTCTCTTGCAATCTCTGTTCGCGGTCTTTGCTCAGGCGCATATGCGCGTAACGTTGTGTGTTCAGGGCAAAAGATATGAGCACATTCCCGCATATCGCTGTGACCACGCCAATCAAGCTATCCCAACCTCCATTCTTCGAGTCCCCTTTAGGACCTCTGATAGCGTTCCAATTCGTATCGATGTCGGGTATCGCGTGCGAATCGTGCGGCAGATACATGGTGTATGTTGTTTTTGTACAAGCGTGCCGGCGACGGGCTTCGCGGTCGTCCCTGCTACCGCATGCTGGCCAGAGTCCAAATACCAATACAGCCCACAGCACACCTCAGTGTCTGCTGCGGAATCTCGGCGTCAGCGTGTGAGGCGTGAAAGATGATGTGTAGAGGCAGGCGTAGCTCAGGCAGATGACGAAGCGTATCTGGGAACTGGGAAGCCGACGGCATAGGGAGGCCTATACATACCAGATTGTCAATGGAGGTTCTCACCGCCTCTACCAACCTACCTCTACGACTAACTTTCTATATTTGCCCTCGCACTATACTCGCTATTGACTCGCAAAATGCCTCTACGTATCGATCTCTCGCTATAGAGGGCTTAGATAACCTTATAGGTTAATAGCGGTACTATACAAGGCGAAATCCTATAGCACCTTATATAAGAGACTAGTTACTAGATAGCTCTTTCTACGCTTTATCGGAGGCTTAAGGAATAGGGGGTTAATTATAGCTATTACGCTTACTATAACCGAGTTAATAATGTCGAGGTACTAAAGATCCGAGTCGTATATACCTTCTCCGCTTTACGCTTAACTAATAAAGAAGCGGTTGAAGTACTAAAGATAGATAGATTTAATATTAGCTAGCGGAGATATTAACGGATACGTTAAGAGCTTAGATTAAAGAAGGTATTATCGCGAGATAGATAGATAGAAGCGGAAGAGGAGATAGTAGAGGTCTTATAGGAAGAGCTCGAGAAGTCTATAGTAGAGTCCTTCGGCCGACGGCACCTATATACCTATATTAGGTCTAAATACAATATTATTAGCAGAGATCGGCTATATCGTATAGCTTGCTTACTAAATCCTAAAGGGTTGCGAGTCCGCCGCGAGCGGGCGCGAGAGTACTATAGAGCGATTGTTATACTAGGCCCTAGCTACGCAATATTAATAGATACTTACTATAAATTCGAGCATTAGGGGATATAGATCTACGCAGCTATTAATGTCTACTCGCGTTATATTATCTAGGTCTACGTAGGGATTACTAGCCGTATAGCTGTATCCGTACTCGCTTAATATATTATAACGATTAAGAATAGTAGTATAATGCTATAGATTATCCGATTAGACCGTAGGGCGGAAACGATTCTAGCTACGGACGCTTACTATGCGACTCGCCTTACGACTCGTAGTAACCTAGAACCGGAACTAGAACTAGAACTACTAGCTTTCGAAGACTGCTTTAAATACGGTACGAGTAAGATAAACTAGCGGATCGAGGCATAGTAGCGCTAGCAAGCACCCGCATTAAATAGCTAGAGGGGCTATTTTTACGAGTTGCTACGCGAGTTACTATACGATGCTAAATTGCTAGCTAATCGGATTGCCTTCCTTGTAGTCTATATACTAATTATGCGCTATAAAGTCCTCGAATTTGTTTACCTCTAGAACAGCTATCGGATTAGGAAGTAGGCTAATCGACTATACGTCGTACTAGGTATTCCGCATATTCTATACTATTATCTAGAGCTAAGCGGGCATTCTTATTAAGGTATTCCTATGCCTAATAGCGTACTTAATAATATAGAGCAAGACCTTTAAGGATTCGGTATATATTAGATTCTATAGTACTCGCTACAGACTCGCTATAGACTCGCTAATAGACTCGCTAATTCCTAGATCTTAAAGCCTACCTGCCCGAGGCTACGCTTACTTAGTGTTAGATAGCATTATAGACTCGCGGCTTCTCGTATCTAGTTAGTAGTAGCGAGAATAATAGCGATAGAGAGCGAGTTTACCGCTAGGTATACTTACTTCTTTAATAGCTAATTGCCGAGTATATAGCTACAGGGTTAGGGCCTAAACTAATAGAGTTAGATAAGCTATTAGCAGCTCGTAATTGGACGTTAGGTAGGGCGAATACCGGGGCTAGATTGATTGAGTTTGCAAATAATATATACTAATCTGAAATAAGGGATTTGCGAGCCGGCCGCGAGCCGGCCGCGAGTCGCTTATTTCAGTTCTATTTCCTTCTTAATCTTTCAATTCCTATCTTGTTCTACCTCTATACTACTGCTATAGTTCTACCTTAGTTCTACTGCTAATAATACCTATCTAGGGTACCTTTTGTACTGTTACCGGCGCTAACTATATAATACTATTAAAAGCATACGCATTCTGTAACTAATGTAGTCTTAAGAACCTTAATCTACTAACTAAGCGATTTGTACGCGAGCCGTTAGTAGTAGCCGCTGCTGCTACCGCTACTACTACGAGTTCAACTGCGAGTATAGTACGAGGCTTTAATGCGTTCCCTTCTCTACCTAAGGCGGCGAATACTATACGCAATGCTGCTATTTAGTAGTATAAGCCAACTTCTCGACTAAATGCTAGATCTCGGAGCCTCTCGCAACGTCTACTAACACCTATACAACTATTAAAGGAGCTAACAAAGGTATTATTTACCTGCCGCTATTTAGTTTTTAGCTAGCGAGTAGAGGTTTCTCGTAGGGGTAGAGTCGACCTATAGGAATATAATCCGCTAGTCCTATAGACTTCTATTACTAATATCTAGTCTAATAAAGACTTCGAAGAAGCTAACATATTACTTATAGACTAGGTTCTTAGTCGGATTGACGCTAAGGACCTACCGCAAGGTAGCGTCTATTAGGTCGACGACTATACGGACTACTTCTTTTGTACTAATTTCGATAATAAGCGCTTATTACTAGAGAAAGTCGCTTCTAAAGCACTCGGCCTAGGACTAGTTAAAGAGGCTCTTATACTCTTTAAACCGCAAACAGGAGGGAAAGCAATAAAGTAGCTACTAATCTATTACCTTAAAATCTGTATCTAACAACAGCGGAAGCTGTAGTAATAAAGGCAACTAAAGCGGAAGCACCGGCTAAGTACTCCTACTGCGAGTAGTAGCGCGAGTGCTATAGCGAGTTAGGACGGGGTTGTTCTATCTATAGAGATTAAGCAAGAGAAGCTATAGAAGGAGAAGGTAATCGATACTAAAAAGCCGCCTAAGTTTATTAACCTAAGCGGCGAGGACACCGCGAGGCTACCGCGAGTTACGCCTATTCTAAAAGAGTCGAGCGAAGCTAAGGACTAGTAAGATAGTTAGCAAGATAGTTAGTAAGAAGGTTAGTAAGGTTAGCAAGGTTAGCAAGGTTAGCAAGATAGCTAGCAAGATAGCTAGCAAGATAGTTAGTAAGATAGTTAGAGCGGACAGAAGAGTTAGAAGCTAAAGCGTGCTTAGAAGCTAGTTAATCTATTGTCTATAGAGATACGATCGAAGAAGAAAGGAAATTGAAATATAGACTCGCTATAGACTCGCTATAGACTCGCTCCTTAAATATTATCTACTAGTAGCTCGCGATCGCTATTTAGCTATAGCTCCTTCTATATCGTATATATATCCTTAGACTTAATAATAGCCTTATTCTTAAGCTATTTGAACTACGAGAAGCAATATCCTTCTAACTTATCGAACCTAGCTTCTAATACCTTAATCTTTGCCTCTAGTTTAGTATTCTTTGCCTCTACGGCCTCGACTCGCGCCTATATCGCGGCTAGCTCGCTATTTCTATCGTCTTCTTCAACCTCTTCTATACTAGCCGTATAGCTAGACTTGCCCTTATACTTGCAATAAGCGTAGATACGCTCGCCCTTAGTATTAAGTATACGATACTTAAAGTTATTAAAGCGTATACAGTAGTAGTATAGCGCTAGTATAAGCTTGCTAGAGTCCGTTTCTATAATAATTCTAGTAGCCTTATATTTCTATAGTCTGTTTAATGCCGCCTTCTTCTTATCCGGTATCGCTATCTAATCGAGCAGCTCTTGCTATATCTACGCGCTATAGTACTAGAAATCGTAGGTGTTTATAGTTATAGGGCGTCGAAGTCTAGAGCGAGTTAGTAGCGAGTCTATAGCGATACGCCTCGCGACTTACAATAAATATTCTCCTCCTCCTACTAGTAAGTACGCTACTAGTAAGTACGCTGCTAAAGTTGAAGCTAAAGCTGCTAAAGCTACGCTGAGAATAAGGTCTCGCGGAATACTAATTATAGCGGCTACTACTATCGGTATCGGTATCGCTATCGGTATTGTCGATAGAAGAAGAACATTGCGAGGCAAGGCGCGAAAGTGTAGCGAGTCTAAGTAAGGTTTATCGCGACAATAGGTATAGTAAGGTTAGTAAGGAAGGCGCAATAGGACAATGGACTAAAGTAAAGCCAACCCTCCATTGACAATCTAGTATGTATAGAGCTCCGTCACGGCACGGCCCTCGCCAAGACAGCTCTCACAACCAGGAGCATGGGAGGGAGGGAGAGAGGTCTCGGCGTTGAAAGACCCCCTTCCCTTGAACACATGCGATTGACATCGATATCATAACAGCACTCGTCTGCTATGTATAAAGTCTTCAATCTTGTGGACAGTCTCTTATACTCGTTCCAAATCTCTCCCGATTCATCATCAATTCGGTGCTCAAGAACTATGGCAGTAAGAAGGGGCGGGACGACTGCCCAGAGTTACGGCAAAGTCCTCGGGGAGCAGAATTCAAAGGCGTCAAGATTATGAGGAGATCGATTCATGTCCCCTCACTGTCACCTTCCTAGAAAGGCGTTGGAATTGCGATACACGATCTCATACTCAGAACATCAATCATTTCTCACCCAAGGCTTCCCAGCTGTCCGCTTCACCGAAGCAATTGAAAACTTCGCACATCAACACCAAGACCCTCGCGTCCAAGACGGTATCCAGTATGGCGAACTCCTCCAATTCGTCGACTTCGACTCTACCTCCCGCGTAGCGAAAGTGAATTTAGTATCGATATAGAGCGCTGCTAATTCTCCGGCTCTCCCTCAGAATGTCATTATTTCCACAGATGTACGTTTTCCAGCTGCAAGTGAAGACGAGGATCCGACTTTGATCACGAATCTTCCGAAGTTCTCGTGGATTACGGGCCATGATCCGTTGGTTGATGAGAGTTATGAGTTGGTTTGGAGGGCGAGTACGATACGAATGTGCAATGGACGCATTGTTTTGAATGTTGGGAATGGAGGAAGCGTGAGTGTGGATTTGGATAAGGATAATTTTCAGTTTGGGATTCGAGCGGTTGGCGGGAATGGGTGGAAGAGTCCGGCTGTGTGGCCTGTGCCGGCTTGATGGGAGGGAGGGAGGGGAGGTTGTGAGGCACCGCCAGCTCGATTCTTGAAGACTTGTGAAGTTATGAAGGAGGTTTTGGAGGATGAGGTGCTGATCGACGTACGAGATGACATGGAGAAATGTACAGCACCACCCTTAATCCGGTCATATAGTATATATATACTTGTATATATGCATTGGCCGTTAGATTAATATCTAGCTATAGCACATATATACTTACATATATACATTAACCGCCAAACCAATATCTACTTCTAGCTAGGCATCTCCTTGCAAATGACGCGATAAGACAAAATTAAAGTATGTTCTTTCTTGTTATATCGATTTCTCTTAACGGCGGTTACATACCAGAGGGTGGGTTCTTCTGCACGCCGGCATTGGTGTCTGGTAGCGACCCGGGTACTTTACCGCTTGTCTCTGGTTGTTTTGCTGGGTTTGGGATGGGTTGAGGTTTCGTTTTGTCGGCGCCTGGAGGTTTGAGAGCTGTGGCGGGGCTGGCATCTGGATCTGGCCCAGCTGGAGCGGGTGCTGGGTTGGCTGACGACTCTGCGGTGGGTGCCGCTTCCGGCTGCGTGCCATTGATCTCAGGCGACTTCGGGCTATCGGTCGGGGTCTTAGCAGGCTTGGTCTCGTCCTTCTTTGGAGGCGGTGTGGGTGCTTTAGTCGCAGGGCTCTCGTCCGGATCAGCTGATGGGCCTGGAATGGCTGGGATTGGAGCGGCTTCAGCTTGATCAACAACCGCAGGTAATTGAGGCTGTACAACAGGAAGAAACGTTTGTCCGCCGCGATTTCGTAGCCCACCGCCTGAATGATCCGCGGTGATTCCTGATCCATAGAAGTCTGGGTCGTTCATAGTGTTTGTTCTCACTGCTCGATCGTACAGTCTCGTGAGTCGAGCCACTTCGCTTCTGACTGTGACTGACTCGTCGGTGTCGATTGCATCGTAGCCATGGACCTTTTGGCTGATGCCTCTCCACATCGTTGCTGAGTTCTCAATCTCGTCCACAACACGATCCAAATCATCGCGGAACATGCGTGCACGCATTGGCTGTCCTCTTGACTTCAGAAATGCGATAAGTCCGGCAATGATCGTGTTGAGAGCACCAAATGCTGTGATCAAGACTGCGCTTGAATTGCTAGCTCCGAGCCCGGTAAGTGCGGCTCCAAGAGCAATTTGTGACAGGAGGAGTCCGTTCGTGAGCGTGGAAGAGAAGACATACATCCGTGCTTGACTTTTGCGATGGTTCAGAGCTCGATGGTAGAGTGAGTCCTGCGGCGGGTGATATGGCTCGTTAGGAGGATGGTCCAGAGGCTTATTGCCTACTAGTTGGCAGAATTGCTTGTATGCATCCGGTAAGATTTCTGCGTCCTGTGGAGGGATGTAGGAAGAGCCGGGGACCTGAGCGAGAGGTGCTCTATCGTCGTAACTTTTACGTCTAGAGTCTTGAAGTGGTGCGTAAGATTCAGGGAACTGTAGCAAAGGGGCCCGTTCGTCGACGCTGTGGCCTCGCTCTAGATCGCTGCCAAACATTCTCCGCACGCGGTATTTGTATAGGAATACTTCTATCTCAGTCCTCCGCACAAGTCTGACGTCTCGATGTGTCTGCCCGCGATGCACTCTGGTGGAACTCGGGAGTGGTGATGGCGGAAGAAAACAAAAACAAGTGCAGGAGCAAGATCCTGGCGTGGCGACCATAACGGTCACGGTTGGGAGCACGTGCTGTTGATAAGCGCACAGATGCTGTTCATATCCAGTAGCTGAATGCCTTGGTGAGACTACTGTATACCAAGTCCCTTGCTTCGGAAGAACTGTCAACAGCTCACCTGCCAGCTCTGCTGCATACCACAGCCAGTCGTATGGCTTGGCCAAGGACATTGCCCGTACTAAGGGTCAGATTGTGACCCATGGCGCTGTATTAGACTTTCGGCAGCAAACGCCACCAAGAGGATAAAAAATGTATGTGCGAAGGGTGGGCATGGAAGGGTGGCAGACTCACAATTGGCCTCGTGCCTCTTGTATAGATGCTGCTTTTTCAGCATTCACTCCCACAGACTATTAGTATACAGAATGTGGTATATAGATCTCCTACGGCGCTAGGAAGTTTGTATAGCGTGCTATATAGAGGTGTCTACGATAGTACGGTTGCGGTTAAGCGGATATATAGAGTTCCGGATAACGTATTAGTAGTCTATATTCTACTAATACCTCGATTAGCGAGGTAGGGCTTCCTACGAAATTACGTAATTCCCGCTAAGACCCTATTTTCCTATATTATCTCGCTTAATTTCTAGGCTTCGCGTATTTCGAGATAAAGCTTAGTATATCTATACTTAATAAGCGGAAATCCTAAGCCTCTCGCTTATAATCTACTATATACTACTATAATAAACGATATTATAGAGCTAGAACGACTTTAGTAACTATTCTTTAACCTTACTAAACTATTTAAACTTTCCCTATTATAATAGGATATAATATAGGCTATTTCAAGCAATATTTACTTACGTACAATTATATTACGTTTAAGTAAGAGTTTAGATATATAGGGGCGGCGTATAACTAAGAAGTAGTATTTCGGCTATATTAAACGACGACGTAATAGTTAAAAAATAAGAAGAAAGAAGATAGCGCTTTAAATAAAGAGACCTTTATTAGATAGCGTTAGAAACCTAAGTTTAAGCTAATAGCGGCCTATAAAGTATTCTCTATTATAACTATATATTGCCTAGATAGTATTTAATAAGAACCCGTATATATTATAAGAGGCTAATTCGAAGGCAGATATATATATAGCCTAGACCTTCTTAGTAGCTAGAAGTTAGATAAATACGTACGTAATATAATTAAGAATTTAGGACTAATATAAATAACTCTCTATTAGGGCTAAAGAGGCTACACGTAATTAGCATATAACTAGGCCGAGTAAAGCTAGGGTCTTGATGCCTTAGGCAGGGCTTAGCGCTTAGTATTAGGCTAACTCTCCTACCTTCCTCCCTCTCCTCCTAGATCTCTATCGAATACTAAACTGATTTACTACTACCCTATCTACCTGCTAACATAACCCTTCTTATATAGTATTCGATCTACCCTTTAAGGGCAGCAGCTAGATAGTCCTTATTTTAAGCTTTTAGCGGTATAGCTACGAACAAGACTAATCTAACTATATTGCGCCCGAAGAACGGGACCTATACGTACTATTCTATCGAAACAACCGTACCAATTATTAAGCAAGGCCTTCTATACGGCCTATTATACTAAGTTAAGCAGACTAAGCCGATATCTACTAATTCCGCTACATCCGCATCTTAGGGGCTAACAATATATTATTAGTGTCGCCCCTTACAATAGCCGGTTTATTACGAAACAACAACCGTGCTGCCGCTAGTAGCGCTAGTAATAACAACGCTAGTAGCACAGTTCCCGCTAAAGTGCCTACTAAAGTGCCTCCTACTAAAGAGCCTGCCGGAGAGCCTATTAAAGAAGAACCTGTAATTCTAGGTAATAATCTAGAATTGCCTATTAACGATATTTTTAACAACATTGTCAATCGACGATATAGCTAGCTAGCCTTTAGCCCCTAACTAGTAGGGAGACTCTAAGAAGCTACCTAAAACAGGCTTACTGCCCTACGTTAAGAACAACAGCTAAAGGATAACCTTCTCGAAATTCGCCGCCTTTAGGAGGCTCTAATAACTAATACTAAGCCGATAGCAGGGCCTTCCTTACTACTAGTCCTAGTCTAGAAGAAGGATGCTAAACTTAAGGACTGCACCGTGTTTAATAGCTCTAGTCGAAAGCAATACAACGACTATATTCGTAACTATAAGCTTAACTAACGAAACGTACTAAGGGCCCTACTAAATAACTATTTACTAGTCGTCTATGCTATACAGTATATTAACGGCGACCTAAAACGTACCTAGGATAACCATTTTAACTCCCTTAATAACTAGACTGCTGTTTAGTAGCAGACCTATAAAACTATTATGCTAGACACCCTTAGAAACCCTATACTAAGGCAACAATACGCTTAGGACTAGTACCTTCGAGCTAAACAAAAGACTAATCAATCGGCTCGCTTATTTAAGGCCTATTTAAAGACCCTCGAAGATAACCTCCCGACTAAAACTGATTCTATCTAGATCTCCGAAATACGCCCTAAATTGAGATAGGAATTGGTCCTTAAATTAGACCGCCGCCGTGTGTTTAAACAGGCCAATCTTATACGCATTCAATTTATAGTTGAAGTCGAAACTGCTAAACGAGCTATCTAGCTCTAGCAACAACTAGAATTAAGGATCCAACCTACTAGCAACCGTAGCAACCGTAGCCGCGGAGGAAACCAAGGTTCCTACTAAGACAACAATACTAACAATAGGAACAGTAACGATCGTAGAAGAGGCCGTAGCCGGCGGCTATATAGAGGAGGTCGTAATAGGGGCCGTAGAAGGGGCTCGTATCCCTATAATACTAATCGCTTAACTAACAATAGCAGCAATAGCGGCTATAGCAATCCCCTAACTAGGTTGAAGTGCTTTAACTATAACAGTACTAGCTATCTACTAGGCTAATGCGACAAACCTAAGGACTAAGCCCGAATCGACCGTGCTACCGCTAAGCACCGTAAGCACCTTTTAGCCGCTAATACTACCCCTGTCGGTCCTTCGAAAAAAGAATAAGCGCCGCACTAACTATTAGCCTTGTGCGGCGTAAGACTATCGACATTGTGCTAGCTATTATACGTACCTATCTTGTATCGGACACGCATAGGACTAACTATAAGACTAAGGTTATACTAGATCTAGGAAATTCAGTTAGTGCCCTTATTAGCTATCGCCTAGCTAAGCAATTAGACCTTCGACAACTGCCTAGGACTAACCTACTAACCCTTGCTTAGTTTAATAACGCTCGGCACTTGACCTACGGAGCCTACTATGTCTATATAGCCCTAAGAGACGACCTCGGCAATAAGCGCCTGCTAAACTTTACTGCCTACGCAGTAGACATAGACAGCCTCCTATCTAAGATTGTTATTAGCAACCCTGTTCTTAAGTACTATACTATAGTTATAGACTTAGGCAGTTAATAGTAGCGATTTAGAATCGCTAGGAAAGAGGACATTAAATATATCGACATTAGCGAGTGTCCTAATAATATTAGGGTCCTGTTTATTAGCAACCTAACACCTGCCTTAGCTAATCCGATAGCTAATCTTCTCGGTAGAGATAACGATAAACCTGTGCCCCCTAATAGTATAGACCCTAATTAGCTTGCTCGTATACTAGAGCCTATTCGAGAGACCTATATTAATGTATTCAAACACTACTTAGCATCGATATTACCTATGTTTAAAGAGACGGATTATAAGATTAATATTATAGAGGGCAAGGAGGTTCCTTTTAGCCCCCTCTACAACCTTAGTAAACGAGAGCTTGCTATATTGCGTAAGTATCTAGAGGAAAACCTAGCTAATAGCCGGATACGGTATAGTAACAGCCCTGCTAGCGCCCCTATCCTATTCGTACTAAAGAAGGATAGTAGCCTGCGCCTATATATTAATTACCGTAGACTTAATACTGTTACTATTAAAGACCGCTGTCTACTTCCGCTTATTAATAAGACTCTCGATCGCCTTTCTAGTGCCTACTACTATACTATATTAGACATTAAGGACGCCTACTACCGCATCCGTATTCGCAAGGGCGATAAATAGAAGATAGCCTTTCGCACTCGTTATAGCTATTTTAAGTACTTAGTTATACTATTTAGGCTAGCTAATGCCCCTACTACATTCTAGTCCTACATTAATCGGGCCCTATTAGGCCTATTAGATTACCTCTATATAGTTTACCTAGATAACATCCTAGTTTATATATACTTACCTAACATTGCGGAGTACTAGGCTATAGTCCGTAAGGTACTCGATCGCCTACGAGCCTATAGCTTGTATTACAAGCCTTCTAAATGTACCTTTGCTACAAAAGAGGTATTATTCCTCGGCTTCCTCGTATTAACTAAGAGTGTTAAGGCTAATCCTAATCGGATTAAAACCATTACTAAATAGCCTGTTCCTACGTCAATTAAGGAACTATAGTCGTTCCTCGGTTTTGCTAACTTCTATCGCCGATTTATTAAGGGCTATTCGAGGTATGTAATGCTACTAACTAAGCTCACTAAAACTAAGGCTAACCCGACTAGAGAGTTTAAATAGACTAACAGAGCACAAGCCGCTTTTAACGGTCTAAAGCGACGCTTTACTAAAGTCCCCTTATTATACTATTTCGTACTAAACAAGCAGATCCGAATCGAGACTAACGCTTTACAGTTCGCTGTATTAGCTATTATGTCCT